ATGAAGGATCCTGGCCTGTGCGAGGAGCAGCAAGAAGCTCTAATTTGACAACCGCTTTGTCAAGATAATGAACCATTTAAATTTTAGTAATAGGAATTGTTATTGATGAGAAGCATGCTTGGCTAAATGCCAATTACTGATCTGTTTTCCCTAGTCTTGGCTCTTTTGGGGTTTCACCAGGCAATCAGGGAAACACCTGCCTGAACATCTTCACTCGTCCGAGTCCAAGTCCATGTCAATGGTCCCAGAGAGGCCTTTCAGCGCCTGAGTCGGGTTTGGAAATCTTCCCGCTGGCGATTTCAAACCCATAACAAATCTCAACAATTTATATCATCGCCATTCACTTGCCACTCCATCACATTGCTATGGAAAAACTCCAGTGGTGTGATAGGTGCCCGGATTCAACAGTTGAGGACTCTTATATTACAGACTAGGCACGCCACGGGGCCAAAAGGAATGAATCGTGGTTTGCCGTGGAGATGGCTGCGAGCAAGTTGAAGTCCTGCAGGGCAGAAGGTAAGAAGCTGTTAAATTCTTCAAAGTGAACACGCTAGACATAATTGCCAAATGTTTTCTTTTCATCACCAATTGAAAATATATCCCTTGTTCTTTGCAAAACCAATGTCCTCACATCGCCACGTGGATAAAAAGACAGCTTCGACTGCGTTGGTCCACGAGAGCCAGATGATCGGCTGGGCTCCAGGTTTGATTGCCCGTTGTTCTCATGTTTGGGTTTGGTCCCTTTGGCAACCGTCTTTGGGTCCCCCTTTCTTCTCCCAGGCTTCTGAGTTTTCTTTTTGTTAGCCATCTCTAAGGCCAAACGATCCCTCTTTTCCTTTAGTATGGCACGAACTTGTTTCACATCAAGTTTCGGGGCCAAACACTTTTCAATTCCATCCCACCCTGGGTCACTGTCGATATCGCGGCCATGGATACGCATGTACTCCTGCAGGGAATTGAACGACAGGATTTGGGGGGGGCAAGCGGAAAGAAGGAACCCCTGGTCTCTTTGCTGGGTATCTATATTTTATTAATTATTAAAATATATGCTCAAACAAACGTTGAGACCCTGAAAAACTCCATTTGGTCTACTTTCAACATGTAATGTTCACTCTTTCCTTGGCTTCTTCCATTAGGGACTCAGCTGTTGGATATCCTTTGGAGACGATGTCACCCACAAAGTTCACCAAATGGTTGCTGGATTCACTGTGGGCGTTTGTGAAGAGTCCGACAAAGCGCTGGTGGGAGAAGGCCACAGCCAGGCCAAAGGTTGGTGGATAGAGAGCCGAGAAGCAGGTGTATGGATTGCTCCCTGTCCACCTGTTGGATTGTCACATGGTCATACATAGCCCCAAAGAAGTTAGCACAAGGTCGTCCAAGAACAAAACCTGTTAGATTCAGGTAAGCCTAAGATAGAGGTATTCCCTTCCCAGATAGCGGTTTTCTGAACCATATCTTTTGATGGTGGTTGCATACCTGCAATGTGATACACAGCTACCATCACAAGTATGGTTGAGCAGATTTGATTAACCAGGCCACCTTCCACACTGCTGCGTGAGTTTAGTGAGGGGTCGATCTTCGAAAGCCGGCACCAAACGTTTGAAAATCTCGAGGACCCATTCGGCACCAGGCCAGTTCCCCCTGAGTTGGAGAGGTTTTTTGCTCATCCCCCCAAATGCGGACAAGCAAACGCTGATGTCCCACAAGCGGCCCTCACGCGCCAACTGCTCTAGCCAGTCTGCAATTCCTCAGCAGTGCCACAAGCAAAAAATGGGCCCTTAAGTGAAAGTTGCACACAACAATCTTCCATGTCTGGGAGATCAGCTGTATCCTATCGTGAAAGCACAAAAATCGATGCTGAATCCCAAGTCAGCCGGCTTGCCGGCGTGTTTTGTGGATGTCTTTGTAACTACATCTGCGAATAGGCACAGCGAAGAAAAGAAGAAGGAAGACGAAGCAGAAGGAAGAAGAAGGAAGAGAAGGAAGAGAAGGAAGACGAAGGAGAAGGAAGAGAAGGAAGAGAAGGAAGAGAAGAAAGGCCATAGTACATAAGGAACGGGGGGTGGGGGGGTGGGCAGCCAAACCAAAAATCCGTCGAAGGAGAAATTTAGGTATAGGTAAAGCTATAGCATTGAACACGTTTTCCCACTGTTTTATACAATGTGCTCAAGGCAAAATTGCACCACAGCACACAGCTTTTGCACATGTGCCTTTCGCCCGATCAAGGTGTTACGCCCACCACCTTTCGCAGAACCTTGCTCTTGCAAAGGCTTGCTCTTACGCAAGCCAGTTTTCACACACACACACACACTCGTTTTTACACCAAGTATTTCCCCACCTGCCAGGTGAGGGTGGTTAAATTTTATCAGAGCGCATGCCCGCCCGCCGCCTCTTCCTCCGCCTCCTCCTCGACTAGCTGGCCTCCTCGCCCTCCTCCTCGCCTCCGCCTCTTCCACCTCCACTTCCGCCTTGCCAACCTTGCCAACTCGTCGCCAAGCGCTTCGCCAACTTCCCAGCTCAGTGCGCACTGCTGGACCTCAACCTGCGAGCTGCCCAGCTCAGTGTGCACCGCTAGACCTCAACCTGTGAGCTGCCCAGCTCAGTGTGCACCGCTGGACCTCAACCGGGGACCTGCCCAGCTCAGTGTGCACCGCTGGACCTCAACCCGGGACCTGCCCAGCTCAGTGTGCACCGCTGGACCTCAACCTGGGACCTGCCCAGCTCAGTGTGCACCGCTGGACCTCAACCTGGGATCTGCCCAGCTCAGTGTGCACCGCTGGACCTCAACGGCCAGATAGAATGCCAGAAGATATGCCAGATGGAATGTCACATAGAATGCCAGAAGATATGCCAGATAGAATGCCAGAAGATATGTCAGAAAATATGCCAGAAGATATGCCAGGTAGAATGCCAGAAGATATGCCAGATAAAATACCAGAAGATATCCCAGATAGAATGCCAGAAGGTATGCCAGATATAATGCCAGATAAAATGTCAGATAGAATGCCAGAAAATTTGCCAGTAACAAAATATATATTAAATGTCATGGTGGGGATCACACGAAGTAAAGTAATTTCTATTTACCTCTATCTAACTTTGATGCATTTATGCAGAGAAGTTTTTACACACAGGAGCTTTTACACAGAGAAGTTTTTAAACAGAGAAGCTTTTACACACACACAAGCTTTACACGCAGAAGCTTCTACACACAAGCTTTTACACAGAACCTTTTTCCCACATACACCAACCAGCTTTTACACAAACCAGCTTCTACCCAAACCTGCCTTTACCCAACCTCCTTTGGTACCACCTAACTTTTACCTGCAGCCTCGCAATAGTCACCTGTAAGGTTGGCTTTTCATCCATAGGACTACCGGCAAAGAGCCTAGTGGGCCGGCGGAATGCCGAAGGCTGTTAAATTATTGCTATTATCAAATCTTCCATTGTTTCCGAAACGTGACCGAGAAACCATCCCATTTCCAAAGCAAACTGGAACTAGGCTGTTCCAGCATGATGCGTAGCCCAAGCCACGTACAAAGCGGGAGCAAAATTCGACCGATAATTTCAGCGCAACGGTTGGCTGAAACGACCGACACCAAATCACTACGGCCGTGTATCTCCTGATGTCAACCCCTTCGAACATAAAACAAACCTATATATTAAAACAAGTTCACTAAGGTGTTCATTTCGTGGGTATGACCCTTGGCATAACCACCACGCCCTATAAATAAAAGGAAGGACATCCTGGTTTGTAACTCGGTTCATAATTTACAAAGCTTTTATATTATACAAGCCACCAAACAACTGAAATTTCAACAAAACTTCTTGACCAGTGTCAATTCCCCTGCAGTTTGTACCACGATTTAACCATATCCAGGTACTGCAAGTTGGAGATATCCAACATACGCCATGCTCCTTGAGCTACGCCAGCATATCTGCCAAGAGACGAAGTCCTTTGGACATGTGAATGTTGTACATGGCATCGAGGCCTCAAGCAAGCAGAACCCCGGATGTTGATTGCCAGTGTCAAAGTATGAGCTACTAGCCAATCAAACTTAAGGATGTAATGTGCATCATCCTGATGTTGGAAATGAAAACCTTTTGGACATTTCACAACGAGAAACATTTCAAGAATCACAGGCCCCACCATGATGATGATGATGGTGATGATGATGACGATCGTGTTGATCAATGATGATGATGATGATGATGATGGTGATGATGATGAGTTTTACCCTGTCAGGTTTCTAGACCCCAAAGGAAAGGTCAAAGAACTGTTTGTCCGAGCCGCCCATTGGACTAAACAAACCTTCTCCATTTTTTGGTTCTAACTGGTGATTATATTCAAGCAAGTAACGGTAGTCAAAGGAAGAGCATCGCAGTTGCCTCGCTTTGAAGCCCTCCCTGAAGCTCGGGGACTGGCCGAAGATCTCAACAGCATCCAGCGTCGCCCATGGTCGACGACAGGGTGATGTCGCCAAACCAGGGTATCTATCCATCAGATACACCTGCAACTCATAGAGGCTGCATGGTGGTTGTATCACCACCTTCGAAAGAACAGCCATGGCTTCAAAAAGAGAAGGCCCCTGGCCAAAAAATCCAACTTTGAGCCCTATGCTTTAGTCTGCCACCAGTTGGCAGTGCGACCATGATCTCAGGCATGCAAAACCACCTTAGGACATCACTGGGTCTGCCACTGAACTGACACAACCGATCTCCAGGAGAAATGTGCATCAATCAAATTTTTGCATCTCCCCCAGCTTAAAAGAACGATAAAGGTATTGAGATCGAATGTTGGAAAAGAATGCGCATTCATGGGTTAGAACTACTGGGTATATAACCCCGAAAATTCGTTTGGGATGTGGGACAGGTTGCAGACCACAACCACAACCACAAACGAAACAAATACATCTACAACAACCATATCAACCACAACATCCATAAGATACATTAAGACCCCATGACAGTCACGGCATACCATTCACCAACCATTCACCGAGGAATCGCGGCGATGTCATCAGCACTATGAAGGCATCCACCCTGGGACTTCGACATGCGCCTGGCTGTGAAACTGTTAAACTGGGTGGAATAGCCAGGGGAATCAATGGATACAACTTACAACAGGGATCAACACGGATATAATGGTGTGTATATATATATAATATGTATAGTGGTTATATTGTTTGAGTAAACTATCTGAATATGAAACATGATCAAAGGTGGTGCCCCATAGATGGTTATATAAATTGCATTCAGAACTAGGTTATATATTTGGTAATTAGCTAGAGTTTATTGTTATTATATATATATATACAATATATATATATGGCGCAAGGAAGTTTAGAAGTCAAACTTCCGACAATATGGACAGATGAAAAGCAGAGATGGAAAGGGTTAGAGTCTTAGAGAGAAGAAAAAGAGTAGAAGAGAGAAGAGTATAAGCAGAAGAAAGAAGATCCAGGTGCGCGAAAAGGTAGAAAAGTCGCGAAACACTGTGTTTTTCCAATGATTTGTGGCTCCGGAGGGTCTTAAAGTAGGCTCGCTCAAGCAGCGGGTGCAGAGCCATCTGGCCAGATGAGAGAATGAAAAAGTGCACGCCGTTGTGGCGCGAAGCACATTTCGAAATCAAAATGTGCAAAGCACACCAGGTCCGGACCACTTTTGGAAGTTGAGATGTCGAAAAAGTGCACGCCGTTCTGGCGCGAAGCACTTTTCGAAGTCAAAATGCACAAAACACACCAGTTTCGGACCACTTTTGGAAGTTGAGATGTCGAAAAAGTGCACGCCGTTGTGGCGCGAAGCACATTTCGAAGTCAAAATGTTAAAAACACTAGGGGTTCGGACCACTTTTGGAGGTTCAGATGTCGTTTCGCGTGGCGGGCGCAATGGATTGTGCACCTTGTCAAAAGTGAGCAAAACGTGAGGGCTTTGTAGCATTTCCAAAAGCGATGGCAGGCGTGGGACATTTGAAGAGGATCTGCAAAGATGCATATTCCGTGGCAGGCGCAGTACAAGAGACATCTTCATCGGAGCTGTCAGGAGGTGAGGGCGCTGATTTCCTGAGAGGGGTTGCATTTTGGAGCATCAGATCTTCAGGTTTGCTGAGATGATTTTGCGTGACAGGTGCAGCACTTCGTATGACTTGGCATCACTTTTTCGTGGCAGGCGTAGTACTGTCGACAGGTGGAGTGGCAAAATCGCAAAACGCATTGGTACGAGGCTGTCAGCGCTGCACTAAACTTTCCATTTTTGAAGGAAGTCCCGCAGAATTGCTTTGTTTTTGATGTTGTCAAGTTCAAAAATTGAAGACGTCTCGCAGACTTGCTTCGTTTTGGATGTTGTCAAGTTCAAAAACTGCAGAAGTCTCGTAGAATTGTTTCGTTTTTGATGTTGTCAACGTCGAAAGATGAGGAAGTCTCGCAGAATTGCTTAGTTTTCAAGCTTGCAGATAGACAGGTGGATAGATAGACAGACAGACAGACAGACAGACAGACAGAGAGAGAGAGAGATAGATAGATGGATAGGTAGACAGGTAGATAGAAAGAAAGATAGATAGATAGGTAGACAGATAGATAGACAGATAGACAGATAGATAGAGAGACAGCTAGATTGATAGACCGATAGACAGATAGATCGATGGATAGAAAGATAGATAGATAGACAGATAGATAGCTAGATAGATAGACAGATACATGGATAGATGGATAGATGGAGATAGATGTATAGATGGATGGAAGGATAGATGGATGGAAGGATAGATGGATGGATGGATGGATGGATGGATGGATAGATAGATAGATAGATTAGATTAGATAGATAGATTAGATAGACATATAGATAGATATATAGATAGATAGATAGATAGATAGATAGGTAGATAGATAGATAGATAAACAGATAGATAGATAAACAGATAGATAGATAGATAAACACAAAGATAGATAGGTAGCTAGATAGATTGATCGGTAGGTAGGCAGGTAGGTAGGCAGGTAGGTAGGTAATCAGAGAAAGAGAAAGAAAGAGAGAGAGAGAGAGAGAAAGAGAGGAGACCTGTCGCTCCATCAGTGGCTTCGCTCTGTCATCCCTGATTCTCAACAACCAACCTTTCCTATAGGTTTCCTATTTTTGAAACTTCCGCCACCGCCTTGTGCGGTAGTACTGGTTTAATTGTATGATTATTACAACTATACTGATACTGGACAATCAACAAACGGACCTCCCAGGTGGACAAGTTGAAGAACCCTGAGGAGGTCGACACCTTCAAGGCAAAGCTGCGCTTCCGTCGGGCCATGGCGCGGGGTGAACCCGGACCGGAACAGGATCTGGAGGCGGCTCTGGAAGATGCTTGGGACAAAACTGGAGGATTTTTTGCCGCAAGTTTTGGACATCATGAGGTTATTGTCACCGAAAAACAGAGGCGCTCAATGTGTTTTGTCTGAGTATTTTGGCCATGTATATATATATATATGTATATATATATATATATATTTATATGTATATACATATATATATATGTATTTAAATGTATATATATATGTATGTATGTATACATATATATATATATATGTATATACATATATATATGTATACATATATATATATATATGTATATATACATATTTGCGGTGTCAACGCCAGGAGAAGGCCAGGCGTGTGTTGATATTTTGGCGTCTTGATGGGGAGATGGGGTGTGGTGTGGTTTTAATGTTCTGTTAGACTTCTACTCCATAGTAAGTGTTCTTGCACTTCCACACATACGTCAACACATACGTCATGCTACGCTGCTGGATGTGCTCGTGCACTTCCACACATACGTCATGCGACGCTTCTGGATGTTCTCTTGCACTTCCACACATACTTCGCTACGCTGCTGGATGTTCTCTTGCACTTCCGCACATACGTCATGCTACGCTGCTGGATGTTCTCTTGCATTTCCACACATGCGTCAAAGGCAATGTCCTGAACTGAGGACCTCAGCCAACTTTGTGCTTGAAACCAAAAAAGGAACTTTTTGGCGAAACCATCGGCGAACAAAACTGCAGTTTCGTGTCTGTAAAACACTAGATTTTCCACTTTTGAGGTCAACCTTCCAAGGGATTTGCACCAGAAAATTCTTCCAGAAAAATAAAAATGTGCAAATTACTACAGTTTCGGACATTTCTATCATCGTCCTGGGGCTGTGTGATGTCATCACCGGCACGGCCTCTTACAGTCGTTGCTACCCTATTTGTGCGTATGTGTGTTTTCTTATTGGTAACATGCTTTCCCCACCCGAACATTCGGACGGATATAGCAGGAAAAATATTGTGGAGAAAACAATGTTCCCAAGGCATGGGGCATGACTTGAAACAACAATAAACTGATTTCACCCATGCAAAACTAAGGTTATATAACTTGCAAGATGGGGTTCCGACCACAAAAATGGAGTCGCAGCCATTACCACCTGCCCGTTTCCTATTTTTTGTCAGCCATATTCAGTTCCATAGAATTTGTCAAGACGCAACATGTGGGTTGGGCACAACCCGATGTAATCTGAGTCCATGAAAGGGTCCTCGTTGTTGCCACATCTCTGAGATAGTACTTTGAGGTTTCCTTGAAGGATGATACTGCCCACAAATGTCATGTTCCCCCCTAGGCTGCGAACACTGCACATGGACCCTCAACCTAGCCTGAGTCCAATGGGGTTTACATACGCATATGAGGAGTGGTCATCACCCAATTAGTTGGATGATTTTCCCAGCTAAAGACTTCCATTTAGTGCGTTTTTCCCCTTTTTTCCCTCATATTTTCCTATATTATTTCGTGGGATTTCCCGGCCAGCCATGGCTGGGAGCCAAAAAACAACGCCGTCCAAGCCCCTGGCCTTAATCAGGACTTGCGCGACGCCGCGCATCGCATGCCAAGAGACAAGCAGATTCGGACGTGTTTGGAAAACTGCAAGGATCTCTTGAGTCACTTGACACTTGAGTTCTTAAGAATTTTCAAGAATATTTTGACTTGGTTGATGGATGTTTATGGTTAGTGAATGAAAACTACCCGGTTGTTGGGGATTATTAATGGCTCACTTGTCTTCTAGATATGTGGAAGGGATATTTGTTGGGGATGAAGGGGATAGGAGAGAACGCCTTGTATGTGATATTGTTTGATGCTGACGTGACCAGAGTCACATTTTGATTTTTACTGAAACATGTTCAACCAACCTATTGATTGTCGGCTGTCGTTTTATTCACTGGCACGTGGATAAACTTCAGGCTCCAGTGGTCAGTGGTAAGAGAGTTCAGGATTTGAGCGCGGAGTTGTGAAATCTTATGGGACGCCCTTTTCCTGAGTGATGAATCTGCTGGTGTTTTGCCTTCACAATCCTTGCAAAACTAGCAGTAAATCCTTTGGAAACTAGGGTGCGTTATTATGCAGAATCAACCTGGAGCAGACGATACTGACGATACCAGCATTTTTTGCTATGTTATTCCTTGTTTATTGCAATACGGTTTTGCCAATTTGAAACATGTGCTTGAAGAAGACTTGAAGATGGGTCTAGCTTAGAGAAGCCGAAGAATGTTTCTTGGTTGGCAGCTGTCAGCGCCCAGGGGAAGCACGAGGAAAAGCGCATGGTAAAGGCTCCGCACCCGAAGGCCGGTCGAATCTCTACGTTTCGTTGGGCTTCTCCTAGACTAAGCCCAACTCCCAACTGGATTGCCCTGGGATCCCGGTCTTCAGTGTGGATCACTATACGAATTGTGGGTAAAATGAATCATTTGACTTTTTGGAAAGTTGGAATATCCCTAGAAACTTCAACTCGCGAGGCCTGACTGATGATGTGACTGTCTACTGTACATGGAATGCAAGGTTTTGGATCGGATCTACTAGTCCATGTGTTTCATTTGTTGCTTGACATGCAAAATTGATTAAAAAAAAACGCCATTTGTCTATTGCTTTGTGAATTTCAAGTATTTGCTGCTGAAATGCATTTATTTTCTGATCCATGATCCCCAACTGCCGGTTGCATTTCATGGTCCGCATTTTTTGTCGCCATGTTCATTTTTGATCAATTTCCCCAACCATGGGTTCCCAAGAGGGAGGATCAAAAGGTGGCAATGGAAAATCAATGAAAATAACCTATATTCCCCTATAAATGGGGGTTGGTAGCTGGGAAAATCATCAACAGGGAATTTTCCAGCAAACCATGTTTGATTACCATCGGGTAAGCCTACATGAATTGGGCTTATTCCTTTTTACGCCCGTAAATCTGCACTTTTTCCATCAGGAGATCAATCAGAGAACCCGGCTGAGTCGGCCGAGAAAGAGGATGAACTGTCACCTGCACTAGAGACGCTCCAGCTGATTCAGCGGATTTTATCCCACCCATAGCTATGATTGGTTATAGTTATATAGACCGTTATAGAGATTTAATGTCCGTATCTATATAGATTACATTATATGATATGGATTGATACTGTATGGATTGGTTAGGTTCCCAAATGGCGCTCAAATTGTGTCAAATGTCCATAGCTGTATTGGTGTCCATCTGGTAATTTAGCACAGCTGTAGAACATTAGCCATTTAGTTCGATGATTTGCCGAGTAGAAACATGGTGAATTTCTATAGATCCGTTAAATTATCAGAGGGTATATATCCACTGAATGGAATGGGGATGGGACGGGGCTGGGATGAGAATGGGTATTATATACATGGGATATACACGCGTTATATTGTTGATCTATTTCCATCTATTTCCACTATATATAGATGGTTACAACTCTCTGTGGACCCCTTGTAATACCTGTTCATTTACCAACATTTTGGAACGCTGATTTTGCGGATGAAATCATTCAATGACCCATTGACTGGATGCTTCACTAGCCAAATGTGTCGGCTGAGCGTTTCGTAAAATTGCGGTACCACAAAATCATGATTTCCCATCAAGAATGGTTTCCCATCAAGAATGATTAATGCATCGTCGAATCCTCTGTAGCTTGGAACACCAAAAGCAGGGTCTCAAAGATTTGAGTTCCGCGTGCAATTCAGAGGGAGCTCTTAGGATGATGTTGGAGGGAAACTCCCAAGATTGGTTTGGTTAAGATGGGTTCGGAGTGCCTGAAAACTGGCAACTAGCACGGAGCAATTTCAGCGATGTTCTGCCAAACCTAAAGATGGCACCCTGAAAATGAATCAGTCCAATAGTGAATTGGGCGGTACTTGATGTCTTGGGAAGGGGGAACAATTTCGTAGACCACCCATGGGACTGGTGTATTTGAGCTGCCTCAAAATATGGAACCCCCGAAAGCCAATGGTTTATCATCATGGTTCTTATTCAGGGCATTCCTCATGTGGAAAAAACATATATTTACCTACAGGACTAGGTAATTTGTTAGGGTAATGTAATGTAGGTGATGAGGTGAATACCGGAATGGATGATTTGCTTGTTTGGTTGGTCGTTTCAAAGAGATTTATGCTTTACTTTTGATCATGATCCCAGTTGACTCATATGTCTACAGTTGATACCACCAACCGGTTTCTGGAGATGCCACTTACAGGGCTTGCAACATGGCATAGCCACACATAGTTCTTTGAGTGAAGGAACTTGGTTTTCCGGTTGTAGTGATTGTAGTGTTCCAGCCATGCTAGCCATGCTGATATATGCTGATGCACCTGGCTCACCGAAGAGCTCAGGACAATGGCAGCCTGTGTGGGTAAATGTTTGGGCAAGTTGAAGCGTTGCCGGCGACGGTGCCAGCGCTCTTCTGGCTCCGCAACCGGACAGATCGACGCGAAGAAACGCGAGTGAAAAAAACGGTGCTGTGCCCGTGGTCCTTGGGGGCACAAGCGCGGTACAGCTTGGTGCCATTTGAAAGGCTAATCATAAGGGACTCCAGGACCACTGCTAAAATGTGATGATCCTTTTGCTGGCTGCTAGCAGATTGTGGGAAACCCAATTGATGGGCACATTGCCAAAACATGGCAACTGGCGAGGGGGTGCAATTTCATGTTTGTTGTTGACTGGAATGAGGACCCCCAATGACCAGTTGTTTGTTGTTTTCCCCTCCAAGCAATGAGGCAAGATGTGTTGTCAATCAAGATGCTCATTCTCAAAGCAGGTGTTCTGTATTCTTTTCATACTCGTAGATGCTAAACTCGCCATTGCAAGAGGGCTTTGATGCCCATGCATACACGTTGATAGCCAATTATCCACAATTTGTCCGCATGGAGGGGGCAGACAAAAATCGAGTACATCTCATAAAACATACGTATCAAGAGACAAAAGCATATGTTCACTCATACTGGGATAATTATCCACTTGAGTGGTCCGACGGACATGGTTTTCGTTAAAATTTGTGAAATAGGATCTAAGATGATTTCACGGAGATATTGCATGGAGCTAGATGACATCAAATTACCCTGAGCCTGGAAATGAATACATGAGATCCTGCGCCATAGATCAACAAACATCATCTCAATCGTCGTTGTCCTCATCATCATCACCACCATCACCATAGCAGCAGCAACGTCATTTCTGCCACTTAAACCTTTTGCAATCAATCCCCTTCCCTATCAATACTTCTCTTGAAATTCTGATTTTTTGTGTATCGTGGCATAAGATGCCCAAAGATTTCTCAAAGTCAGGTGAAAGGCCCAAGATCCGCATGGAATCAATGGAATCCTCTGATTTCGTGACCCTTCACTCTGCCTGTTAAATATGATCATGTTCCATGGCCATGCCGGGCTATATGTTATATGTTGAATAACCAGAGGCTATGTCCTATTCCTGCTCAAGATTATTAGATTCTTAGATACTATAGTAGTCATTGATCTATCGTTTAGCGTTTGCACGTTCTTTATTCTATGATCATCACTGTTATCAACGCGAGTGTGCTACACAGCCATCATTATTTCATCATTATCACGTTTACTATGTGTCTTATATACTAGTTTCACAAAATAGTACAGTATCATTCTCGCTGTTTTAAGCATATTGTTACTATCATACGTGAGAATAACGTCATTATTTGATTATACATATGTCACTATCATCATTATTTTATATATATATATATATATATATTATCATTATATGATATAATATGATATAATTAATGTTCATTATCATATTATTGCATTATTCATTATATACAATATGATAAATAATATAGTTTATAATTTAATATAATCATTATATATATATTATCATTATATGTTCACCTGTGCTTAGGCTGGTTTGTCTGCGCGTGGCGACGGTGGCGACCGTGGCAACCGTGGCGACCGTGGCGACCGTGACCACATGGCCCGCGAGGAGGGTTGCCAGTTGCAGCGACGGACCCAACTTGCCCAACTTGCCCAGCACCCTCTGGTAAACTAACATAGCTATTGAAAATTGCCATTTATAGTGGATTTATCCATTAAAAAGTGGTGATTTACCAGAGGGTAACCAAATAAAATAGGGAAATTGTCATCGAAAATCATAGGGATTCTAAGCGGACAAATGTAACATAGGGATTTTAAATGATTTTAAGACATCAACAGATGGGTTGTTGTTACCGCAGAAAGTCATAAAATAGGAATCACTGCAAGGGACAGGACATGAATGTGTTCATGAAATCAAGTATTTGAAGTCAGACTACGTTGGTCAAAAACTTTCTTCATGGACATATTCATCCACCTAAGTCTATAGGGACAGACCGTTTGCGACTGTTGTTTTTCTATCTTTTTCGGGGGCCACCTGCAAAATGGGAAGCCTTGGCCAATGCTGGTTGCTTCAATCATCGCATGTGAAGCAGCCCATCATGACACCCTGAGCTCTTCACTTAATGTTACGGCGTGCTGAAACTGCACCAATGCATAATTCGATGATTGTCCCATATTTCCTACTGTAATCATCTTTTATCGGTATGTATGTCTATATATATATACATATACATATTTCCATGTTTTCCTCATGTTCCCATGTCAGTTGGGAGGTGTTGGGATTGGAGACAGCCAGCCACATTGGAATCTCCAGGAGATTCGGGACTTAGAGCGCCGCTTGGCGGAGAGCGAGCGTCGCAACGACCGCTTGGAGGCGTGCCGCTGCGTGCTGCACTGCTGGGCGAAGTACACGGGCGTGTTTTTTTCCTCAGCAAACCATATGATTGCAGGAGGGTCTATGATATTCCTCCTGGATAATCCAAGTCCAAGATGTTTTCCCTCAAACAGTTGGGACCCTGAGAATCACCAATTTTCAGAAGAAGGTGGCCTTCCAACCCTCAATTGGCAGGGTCTGCGGGTGTACAGTAGTGGCAACTCTTGCAGGACCACATGCTATCCACAGTCCAAATTTTGCTGCTGAACCCCCCAAGTTCCTGGCAAAATCAAGATCTACATCCCTATTTTGTGAATTTCTAGGTGTTTTCTCGGGCAGATCCTGGTGGCTTCAGGGATCAGCCCTGCCAGGGCCAGGCTCAACTGGCACAGCTACAAGTGGAAAAACTGGAGCGAGCACAACAAGCTGAGGTGCGGCCTTGGCTGGGAGGGCCAGGCCTGGAAGGCTTGATGTTCCAAGTCTGAAACAAACACTTGTGCTTTAAGCACCAGAAAAAAGGATTCAACCGTGAAAATTGGTGATTTATAGCAAAGCAAAAAGTGGGGATATCAGGAAGTTTGTGTTGATATGTGTTGATGTGTTCTTGACTCTTGACATTTCCTGAGGGAAAAACGGAAGATGCCAGGCCATTCAAGTGCAATTAAACCAGCCCTAGTTTGAAGTCACTTGAGCCTCGGGTCTATTTGGGCTAGCTGGGAGCAATGACATACTAGTTTCCCAGCTACATCATAGCAATTTGGATATCAAAAAACATCAAAAAAACTAATGAATTCTAATTACTGCAGTTGCCTAACTGTTTCCCATGACTAAAAGCTGACATATCCCGATTTCCATGCGGATTTGGAGGTGGACGATTTGACCCATCAGCTGAGGCGAGATGGGGATCGATGATGTGAGATGATTTGGGAGATTTTTCATGTTTTGAAACTTAAAGACTTGGATACCCAATGGATCCCATTTGGAAATGTATTGAATGTTTTGATGGTTACCATTGGATTCCAATATTTTACATGAATACCCAATTGGAATTCGATTTTTGGACGATTTGGAGCTTCCAGAAGTGATACTTGGAGGTAATGTCTGCCTGACTCACTAAAGGCCTGGATGGAATACGACCAGCTGATGTCATTTCTTCATGGTCAGGAACTGTGCTCCAGACTTCGAACTTTATAACTGATGACGTTGATGCACTTGCTTAGCACTAGAAACATCAAACAGTTGGACGTGATGCAGACTTCATCACCAAAAATCCTAGATAGAAAAAGAATGGCCGAGGATTTATGGAAGCTTGAAGATTGAGAAAGCAGCATTGCAATGGAAGATTTGCCTGCTCATCCCTTTCTATAATGATTGACTTTTCCATAACAGTTTTCAGTGCCGGGGTGGAAGAGCATCCTTACTTTACTGTCTGGCATGATTGTCTCAATTTGTTATGAACCAGTTTTGCCGGTTAGAACCCCATGGTGAATTCCTAATCCCCCATTGTTCTTGGATGTTCTTGGTTAAAGCTGAAATCTTCTTTGCGGCATCCCCACATTCCTGCTTGAGAATCCGAAATGTATCTTTTCAAAAACTATACTAATAATATATATATATATTTATATTATATTATATATGACATATATTATATGACACGCTGGGAAAAACAAAACATACACAACATGACACGACTTGTTTCCGGTCCTCTAGACCTTCCCCTCTTTTCAGTTCCCGTTCCACCCCTCCATCGTCCATCAGGAAGGCCCAGCGCCGTGCCCAGCAGTTGGAAAGCGAAGCCAACGCGGCGCGGCGCAACGAGCGCCGCATGGAGCGCGAGGCGCAGGTCATGGTCGAAGCGGCCGAGGCCGCCCAGCGCCTGGCTGCGGAGGCTGCGGAGGCAGCCAGTGAGTACCTTGGGCTGGGGTTGGGATGGGGGGGCTGGGGGTTGGGAGGATGTTTTTCGAAAAATAAAAAGGTGTGTGTTAGTTTCACTGTTAGAGTATAATATGAGGCCAGAAAAAAAAACGATGAATGAAAAGAATGCGTAAAACGATGATGAACGAGGAATGGAGAGGAGATCGAATAATATATTGGGGTATATTTTGGGGCGGAGGGATTAAGATGGGAGTGATTCCAAGGACTTTCTTTTGAGGTACAGTAATCATGAAATTGCGCACGCGTAAATGTTGGAGCATTAAGACAAATAGATGCGTTGGTTTAGAAGAATCGGGGATATCGAATTATCACTTATCCTGACTTGCTGTATTCTGATTTAAAATTGACCAAATTCAAGCGCCAGGGCTTTGTTGTCTTTGATGCTTGGGTGGGTTGATGACAGGGGAGAATGGTTTGTATGATTGACAACAGGAATCAATGGATTGAATATTGACGGTCGCATTCATAGAACTACTACGTGAAATTCATGGTTTGAAAGCAATGGGGGCGTTCAATAGATCATGAACATTGGGTGTCAAAGTGTTACATAATAACATCATCATAGCCACTATAGTAATCATATGACCCTGAATATTAAATATTAATGAACATGATAAAATGGACATTGACTAACAATACTAATATAAAAACATGGATGGGATTCACGTTTGACCCATTTGACAAAGACGGGGTGGTGTCATCCGCTCCATGGCTGGCTGGGAAATCACCGAAAATGGGGCATCACCCAGTATCACCCAGTACTATGATTGATCACAGGATGTTTGATTGCCAGAGGGATAGATAGATAGATAGATAAGATAGATAGATAGATAGATAGGATAGATAGGATAGATAAGATAGATAAGATAGAAAGATAGATAGATAGATAGGTAGATAGGTAGATAGGTAGATAGGTAGATAGGTAGATAGGTAGATAGGTAGATAGGTAGATAGGTAGATAGGTAGATAGGTAGATAGGTAGATAGGTAGATAGATAGATAGATAGATTGATAGATTGATAGATAGATAGATGGATAGATGGATAGATATATAAATAGATAGACAGACAGACAGACAGACAGACAGATAGATAGGATAGATGTGATAGATAGATAGATAGATAGATAGAAAGATAGATAGGTAGGTAGGTAGATAGGTAGATAGGTAGATAGGTAGATAGGTAGATAGATAGATTAGATATATTAGATAGATAGATAAATAGATAGATAGATGGATAGATAGATAGACAGACAGAGACTAGATAGATAGATAGATAGATAGATAGGTAGATAGATAGATAGATAGAAAGATAGATAGATAGATAGGATAGATAGATAGGATAGATAAGATAGATAAGATAGAAAGATAGATAGATATATAAATAGATGGATAGATAGATAGATAGATAGAGAGACAGACAGACAGATAGATTATATAGATAGATAGATAGATAGATAGGTAGATAGGTTGATAGATAGATAGATAGATAGGTAGATAGATAGATAGATAGATTAGATAGATTAGATAGATTAGATAGATTAGATAGATAGATGGATAGATGGATAGATGGATAGACGGATAGAAAGATAGATAGATAGATGGATAGATGGATAGATAGATAGAGAGACAGACAGACAGACAGACATATAGATAGATTAGATAGATAGATAGATAGATAGACAGATAGATAGATAGATAGATAGATTAGATAGATAGATAGATCGATAGATAGATAGATAGATAGGTAGATAGGTTGATAGATAGATAGATAGATAGATAGATAGATAGATAGATAGATAGGTAGATAGATAGATTAGATTAGATAGATAGATAGATAGATAGATAGATTAGATAGATAAGATAAGATAAGATAAGATAAGATAGGATAGATAGATAGATAGATAGAGAGAGATAGATAGATAGATAGATATATTTCTGGATAAATTATAACGACCTCACTGCGACCTCACTGGAAATCATGGTCGGTAAGGGAAATCATCCCCAAATGGCCTTAATTCAGGTTAGTGAAATATTCTAATTTACACAGATATTTATATATATATATATATATGCATGCATACATACCCAGAAATCACAGAAACACGAGAGATTGGATTTTCACACCTGAGAGATTGCACAGATGATAGTTGGTTTCTATTGGTGGCTCAATATGGCAGGTCACATCCTGGTATGGAAGAATTCGAATTCCCATAGCTATGATGGGTAGGTTTGGATTTTTTCAAACATGGTACCATGAAGAGCCCACAGTCAGTTGTGGAATTATAAAAATCATTGATCCCAAAAGTTCAATTCCTTGCTCGAAAACATGCTTGTGTATTGGAGTTATTCATTTTTGAGGCCCATATGGGGGCATTGTTTAGTAGGCCTAATCCCATATATGTTGATGCAACTCCATTTTCCTAATGAGATAATTTTCCCATGCATTAGCAGTATTATTATAGATTATTTAGTATTATAATATATTATAATGGGAAACATGACATGCCGCCTGGTCCCCAAGGCACATTGCAGTACAACATGCGCAGCACGCGCAACAACAAGCGCGGCAGATTGCCGAAGTCCATGCGAAGTTGGCTGCGCAGCAGCAGGTGGAATCAATGAAGGTGCGCTCTTGTGTCAATGGATTGGTTTAAGGGAAAACCTACTGGAAACCATAGGTTTTCCAATTAAATCATTAAATATGGGGTTTTCCGGTTAAAATTGTCCCTTAGACCAATCCATTGAGTGTGGTGTGTGACGGTATGTATGCATTACAGTTCTGACCAGTCAGCAGTTGGAGTCTGTAATAACCCCATGGCTAGCGTCACAAGAAATAGATCAATATGAAGAATCTCATGCAGGTGCCCAGATTGACGAACACCATGCAATTAAATGATACAAACCTAGCCTATATATGATCCTATATCTATATCTTATATTATTTTATTATATTTAATCCTGCTTGATCTTATTTGATCATATCGTATCTATATAATGAGGTAAACTCAATAATAAACCATCCCTAGTATCACATTTTCTGCGAATGTCAGATTTCTGATGTATTGGGATATATTGCATCCCACATTATCTATGAAGGTTGGTCCTACGTAGTATCCCCAAGGGCGAGCAGGGTCCGTTCCAGCAGGCCTTGGGAAACGGCTCCGGCCCTGTAACCTGGGCGGCTCCACCCTTCATTGAGGCTTTGAAGGATGCATCTTGGTACGCGCGGAGAGTACCACGGACGTTTCGGAGGTTTAAATTGGGCCTTTTTTGACACCTTCAGAAACCTTCATGGAAGGTACCACTGAAAGGGGCTGGGGATTTTCAATGACCAGATTTGGCACGTTGGCACCACTTTAGGATGTGTGGTGACTTTACCGCTGCGTTTTTTTCGCAACAAGGGTCATGAATGCCGCCTAGGCTGGCAACGACACGCCCGGCACGCCTGGCGCCCAGTTGGGATCATTGGCCGGATCTGGACCAATGGAAGTCGGCGAGGTTGTCAAACCAACTATGCACAGACATGCGTTTAAACATGTTTAAATTCATCCAGCAAGGTAGTCAACTAATTGCGGAATCCTGTGTTTCAAAACCTTGCTGAACCAATACCTTACCTGAACTCTTTACACCGCAAGCTTCTCGCCACAGATAGGCTCAAGGCCTAGTTGAGCAATGCCCCGGTGTGATGGTAGCATGCTGGCTGCGGTTCAAGATTATTGAACAGCAAATTTAGCGCATTCTTTCTGAACTGGAACTTACCACATATGTGGTCCATGGGTGCTTCATTTGTTGGTCGTATCCAACCAGACGTGACAAGACACAGTAGGGACTCAGTACGGCGTTGCAATACATATATACATGTGCATGCTATATATATATAATATAAATATACATATATGTATATACATATGTATGTATATTATTATATAGATGTACCAGATGATTTTTATGTGGGGTCAGCAGTATATTATTTGATGTCGCTCGGCTAAGCGTGAACCTTGGGAAGCCATGGCCAAGTCATGCCTTCTCTTTGTCTTCGCGCGAGTCGTTGAAGCTTTGGACGCAACTTGCGATTCGCAAGCTGCGTATGATTTTGTTTTTGTGGGGTGAATGGGCGGTGCTGGTGCATGAAATCTGTTGAACACTCCAAACGATGTGTTTGGGAGGTGCTCTTTCAAAGACTTGTGCCACCCCAAGTTTGAATCAAAGAGCTGCAAACTGTTTGCTGTATGGTTTCCCAATGCAGGATGACTTTCATCAACATTTAGCCATATGCTCAACAATCTTGCCTGAAAACTAATTTAATTAATGTTGATATGTTGTACACCCAAAGGTATATACGCCATCCCCATTCTACCCGAAATGTGGCAAACAAACCATCTTAAGAATTCGATTTGGAGTGGCTCTTCCCCCAAACCGTTTTCTCGCCACATGTCGATATAATTGGGTTGGTTCAAGGCAAAAACAATGCAGGCAGCCATAGTTTTTGCCCTTATATAAAATGTTCCTTCAAGTCTGGAAATTATATATTACTAAAAACCATGCCCCCATAGGCCAAACCTCCCCAAACTGGGACAGTAAACACATGTAAAAACAACACGTTAAATGATAGTCAAACTACTTTAAACACCATGTATCTTGAAACATTGGATCACATTTGGGATGATAAGTAGGGCGATGACTCGCTTGTAATTGTTGTGACTGTCTTATCGCCATCATCATCACCATCATCATCATCATCATAATCATCATAATCATCATAATCATCATAATCATCATAATCATCATAATCATCATAATCATCATCGTGAACATCATCGTGAACATCATCGTGAACATCATCATCATCGTGAACATCATCATCATCATCATCATCATCATCATCATCCTCATCATCATCCTCATCCTCATCATCACGATCATACATCATACATCATCATCATCATCATCATCATCCTCATCATCACCACCATACATCATACAACATACACCATACAACATACATCATCATCATCATCCTCCTCCTCCTCGTCATCATCATCATCATCATCGTCAACATCAACATCATCAACATCATCATCATCATCATCATCATCATCGGACTTATGATCGCTGGGCTGCCTGATCCGCTGATCCGCTGTTCCGCTGGGCTGATCCGCTGATCCGCCGATCCGCTGGGCTGATCCGCTGATCCCCTGATCCGCTGATCCGCTGGGCTGATCCGCTGATCCGCTGATCCGCTGATCCGCTGGGCTGATCCCCTGATCCACTGATCCGCTGATCCGCTGGGCTGATCCGCTGATCCGCTGATCCGCTGGCTGATCCGCTGATGGCCGGGCAGTATGGGGATCATGAGTGGACTCATCATCGGCATCGTCATCCTCATCATCCTCATCCTCATCCTCATCCTCATCCTCCTCCTCATCATCATCATCATCATTATCATCATCATCATCCTCCTCCTCCTCCTCATCATCATCATCATTATCATCATCATCATCATCCTCATCCTCATCCTCATCCTCCTCCTCCTCCTCCTCCTCATCATCATCATCAGCAGCAGCAGCAGCAGTACCACCAGCTGCAGCATCACCAGGCGTAGGTTCCCTCTTGGTTGGGTCTTGCGAGGTACCCTGTCTAGGGGTCCCAAAGAGACGGGTTAGGACTAAGGACCGGGGAGCACGTACATTCTTTCACGGGTTAGGAGATAGACTGTCCCACTCGTTGGGACTTAAGAGTAGGTTCCTTGTCTCACAGGTCAGGACTAGAGCGACTAGAACTTACGGGGTAGGAGTACACTGACTACACATTCAAAAGTACCCTGTTTCGCGGGGGGGGAGATACCGTGGTACCGCACTCCGAAGCGCATCAAGTCTGCCCAGCGGCCCCAGCGGCCCCAGGTGGACCTGTCACCGCGGCAGCTCCAAGGCCTACCGTCCGGCTGCACTGCGGCCTGCCCCGAGATGATCGAGGCCTATGCGGCGGCCATCCGCGCACAGGCGTTAGAGGATCCCACAGAGGCCATGAAGGCGGTGCATCAGCAGATGTGCCTTCACCAGGACTGGGTTTCACCAGAAAAAATAGGCACCCCAAAAAGGCACATTGGAAAACTGATTCGAACAGTCTTTAAGAAAAGGATGCGTTACTTTTCAAATCTTTGTTAATGCGTTTTTTTGAGGGGTTGCTATAGGTGACAACACCAGTGATGAGTGGATTAAGCCTGCTCAGCAGCCCTCAATTCTCGCGCACGTGCCGTCACGAATGAGTTTTTTCCCAGAGTTGTTATCCATGGCTCAAAATTATTGACCGGGATATGTCATGATTAAATACTATAATTTGGGTAAATTTTTGGGTACACGGTGCACGAGTATCCCATTTGGGTCGCCATGCCCACTTACTTCCCCGAGGTCCTTTTGCTTGTGTGCCTTGTGTGCTGATCCCTTACTAGCAGCTCAACTTTCAGTAAAACATATGTGATGTATGGAGTTTACTGGTCTAAACGTGATGTATGGAGTTTACTGGTCTAGTCCCGAAATAACTTATATAAAACATCTCAACATCCAAGTTTGTGGCTAAACGGCCAAACAGCACCGAGTTCTATGTCCCTCAAATTTCACAATTTCGCCATCAAAAAAGTGGCCACAAATTAGTCAAACGATGCCAAAATCATTGGATTAGGGGATAGACCAAACAGGAGGCCTACCGATGCCTAGCGCAGCAGCCCTCGTGTTCAGAATTGGAGGGACATCACCACTGGGCTCAGCAAGTGGAATGCAGTTGCAACTTGAATGCAGCTGTATCCCACAGAAGGCCTACTGTTTTGATATGCTTTGATGGGCTTATCATCACCCATCAGCCCCTTCATTGGGTTTTATTCAATCCCAGTTGTTGATTAGTTGCGGAATGATGTTCCAAGAGCAGCGTTCGTGACCATCTTCAAGGCTCGATGACTTCCAGGAGACAAGCAGTCACTTTGCAGAGCCTGGCCATTAATCATATTCCCCTACATAGTACCAGCAATAAGTGCATTGCAAAATCTACAAAAGTTAGTATTAGCATGCAGTTTCAGAACCCTTTTGTAAGTGCAGGGAGGGGTTGCAGGTAACGTGTTCTCAGGAGGTTTTTGATTGCTGGGGAAGGTTTAGTAAAACCATGAGCCGCTTGTGAGCACCCAGGAAATCATTTGCATGAAGGACCATGAAGGCAGGGTATTGGATGCTTGCCATGTCTAGAACCCACTGAGGCCATGCTTGTCCGTCCTTCAACCCTGGTTACCCCATCCTAGCCAACCTGGCCCTCTCCATGCGCGAACAGTTCCAGCGCGACAACGCCACGCAAGAAATCCTCTGTCCTATGGTCGGGCCCGCCAAGTGTGCCGTCGCCAAAGATGCATGCCAAATCTTTGATGGAGTGACCATGGATGCAGTGCGGGGAATGGAAAGTCAATGCTTGCAAAGTGGTTATTTGATTGAGGAGGATGAGGATGTTTCGACGACTGAGCTTGAGACAAGTGCCAGTGGACGCGAGATTTTAAGCCTTTTTATGGTACAGCTATTACAGCTAACCTTTGTGCTGAGAAACGTTCTAATTAGTACAAGTGCCGTCTCGTGAGTTTTAATGTCTGTGCATCCCCCGGCAGACTGGAACCATCCCAAAGGGAGGCCCTCGTTTGCCGATGATGAAATGTCATCCAAACAGATGGGGCTACACTAAGCCCCTGACATCCCCTGACTTGTGAAGTTAAACCTGGTTTCCACCACAGTGTTGTCCTTGTTTTCCAGGATGTAATCCGAATACTTGACCGGCCAATTTGGGGAGTGTGGAGTCATAGGCTGACGGTATGATGTGCTTTCCGAGCTTTTGATTGAAGTTGCTGGATTCTCCACCTTATTGTGAGCCCAAGCCCATGAAGCAATGTGCGTACACTGAGGCAATCAAACATGGCAATGAAAGCATTCCATTGTTGCTAAATCTTCCATAAATGGTGGGTTTCCCACTCCCATATCTGATTGCGACAGGTGATATATGTCACAGTTGTGTGGCATGCACGACTGTATAAAGGATGATATGCTCTACAAGTAGCTTGCACCCATATATTCTGTAGCTGCCATAGACATTATGTGGGCAGGTAGGTCGTGACATGAACTTGGGGTTGCCACGGCCGTTTGACCTACTATACCTCCAAGACTTGAATGAAAGGAAGATTTGCCGGAAACCTCTATATTTAATGAGGTGGGACAAATATATACAAATATGGTCTCTTGCCAATCGACAATATTCCCCTTGATTATACCTATATATGGAATAAACATGAATAAACCACAATAAACCTATATAAATTTGGTAAGAAAAGTTGGGTTGAAGCCCCGTTTCTGGGTGGAATCTGCCACAATTTATGGCCATCAAACTCCCATGGGGTCACGAATCTATCGCCGGATCGCGCTGCATATTGTGTCGCTCAAGCCCCGACATAACGAAGTGGCCCCCACCGTGAGGCGGCTGCGCGTGCTGGCAATCGACAGTTGGGCATGTCTTTTTTGCTGCACATGGGTATATCAACTGGAGGACTGTATATTATCTAATTACAAATATCTACAACATAATAACGTTTTTTTTCCCAGGTTTTTTCTTTATCTTGGTGCAGGGTATCGAAGTTTGGCCAGGTTTGGCCTGTGGCCAAAGTAGTGATTTTCCATTGACATCAGGGCTGCTGGACACAGCTTGGCAGGACCACCTCGTGCCAGAGTTCCATGGGGGGTCAATACAACGGAGATCAAATCACAACATGGTGCGACCCAGACTTGGACATGTGACATGACGACAGAAATTAACATAGCATAACATGACATTCATAAACCATATAAACCTACAAAAACCATCAAAGACCACCCTGATCCCTGGTGTTTTAAATCATCCTGTCCCAGTGGGTCCCAGCATACCATGCCACACGGCGAAGTCAGTGTCGCGCCCGGCTTCAGCTTGGTCCTTGGTTTCATCAGCTTTACTGGATGTTTGGTCACCAATCCCCCCCATCCCCTCAGAGCACAAATACTACTCCAGGAATGTATACGCCTTAGTTGTTAGATCCTATCGCACCCCATCATTTATGAACGGTGGACACCCCATTATCCTGATATCTGTGATATCCCAATCTGAGGGAATCACCAAAGAATTGGGAAGGAAAATCCAAGGGAAACAACGTTGGTCACCGGTGGTCCCCGGTGAGATCGGTCAGGCCATGCTCTACAGCACCTTCAAGGGCGGAGGTGGAGGCTATGACCAGATGCAGGGGCAGGCCTTCATGCCCGGCAAGAGGCGCGGGGGTGGAGTCGGATGGAGAGTGCAAAGATGTTCAAAGTCATTGAGTTGGCTCAAAATCATTGAAACCCCAAATGGATCCAAATGGTTACCCTGGGATAAACGAACATAGATCCCGAAAAGCCATGGTTTCCCTAGGAAGATAATCCACCGGGATTTTCACATCTGTGTGGCCTTGTTGGCAGCCGATTGCCATTATAATCCCTGAAGTGTAAGATTACCCACAGAACTGTATCAATAGGTTCTCGTCTTTTAAGAGAGAAGGGTTTAGAAGTTTAGGTGGATCAAATAAGCAGAACACACACACATATATATATACATATATACATGTATATATATATATACATATGTACATGTACATGTACATATATATTTATAATATTATATATGTGTGTGTGTGTGAGTCACGGTCAAAATGGTTGAAGACCATTTTAGTATTGCAGGAGTTTTTTGTCAGAGATGTGCACAAAACATTGTAAAGCGAGAGGGCCCCCCCAAAAGCGATAACCTGGAACCATACACGGCAGTCCATTAAACTTGGCGTAAACCAAGCAAATACTGTAGTGCACATTCACAGAACGGGCAAAGCCGATGATGGAAATTCAACCTGTGGTGCCCTGTTTCCTGCAGTCACCATATCATTTGGCATCCAACTCGCTTGCGCGCTCTCTCTCTCTCTCTCTTCTCTCTCTCTCTCCTGTTATTTTGTGTTTTCTCTCTCTCTCTCTCTGTCATTTTTGTGGCAAATTTCCTTCAAACAATGTCATATGTTGAAAGGGTTCTTTAGCGATAACCTTAGGGATAACTTAGCGACTTAGCGATGACCATTTGTTGCACTCGGTCCCCTGGCCAAGCCATAGAGCCATTTCCATAACTTTAGAAAGGAAATGAAAGGACATGAATGCAAAATGAAAGGAACATGAAGTGTTGCCGAAGCACCAGAAACCAACAAAACAATTCCTCGATCATCGACCATTTCCGAGCCTGTTTAGGAATGGATTTTGGCTTTATGTTGGATCTCGAATATACTAATTTCCACAAAACCATATAAATAAATATATTATATGTATATATATATATATGTGTGTGTGTGTGAAGATATGTGTTGAAGTTGAAGATATCAAACGTTGGGACCTTTTTTTGTTCTTTTTGGTGCATCAAACTATAGCTTTTGGTCACCTTTCATCCTGGATCACCCAGCCGCCTCAGCCTGGGCCGCTGGGACGCAGGAAACGGCTCAATGTGGTCGCCATCCTTCTAAATGCGTCGATTCCCAGCATTGCCTTTGCGATGAGTGGCTGGGTCTGCCTGGCCAGTTCATATGGAAATGAACCATCTATAGTTAAAGATATATCAATTGAAATATGTTGATATATCAATTGATATATTTTGATTGATATATCTATGGAAATATATCAATTGATATATATATATATATATATCCATCTGTTCAGTTGATTTTGATATATTTTGTGTAACTCTATAATTTGAGCAGTATTTACATATGGCTGGTTGGTGGTTTGGAACATGGCTTTTACTTTTCCATAGATTGGGAATAATAATCCCAACTGACTTTCATATTTTTCAGAAGGGTTGAAACCACCAACCAGATGGATTTAGGGATATCCAATTTCAGTCTAACAGTGTCACTACCAGCCAAAATGGGTGGTTGGGTCCAACATGGCAATCTAAAATGTGCGCCTCCGTACCCGCTGTCGCTCCATGGCTGGAAGATCCATCCATTGATGATATAGATTGATGTAGATGATTTAGATGATTTTCCCATATTAAAAACCTGTTATATATATACATATTACTAGGGGATTCCAATTGCCACGTTTGATATGTTTGGTGCCGGGTATACGATCCCTATTTCAGCGGACTGAGCTTAGGGACGGATTTTGGCGGATAGGCGGCTATCCATCAGGTAGCCTTTTTTTCCCTTCCAGCAAAAAAAAAGGTAAGGCAATCAAAATTTGATGAGAATCCCAATTTCTATAGCTCAATTTCATCTGCAAATTGTTGAAGTTTCCATTCTCGTGTTTGATTATCCGAGAGGGTGGAAGATCTGTAAGTGTGGCCCAGGACATTCCACAAGCAACTTTAAATCAACTTTTACAAATTATATAACTATAATGTATTAAATATACATGTATGATCATATGCATATCATTACACACACACATATATATATACACTGTATTTACCATACGTCCAGTTAACCAACTTAGTCCAAATAACTTCGCCAACGTTCACTGGGGCAGCACCTTTCTATTTACCATGTGCCAGGCCTTTCGTTTCAGCATCCACTACGAGCAGCCTATGTTGACCTGGTCCCTGCTGGTGGGTTTTGCCCAGTTGGGAGAAATTTTCTCGAGAAAACCATGGAGCTAAGTCATGGTAAGTCAGGTAAGTCATAAGTTTATGGAATATCCTATGGTTCATCATGATGAAGATATGATGAAGATATGAGACTATAATGTTGATATCATGTTGATATCATGTTGATGCAGTCGTCCTTTTGGGTGAACGCAAAGCCAAGGTTCTTGGCTTGCTGATCTCCATGACCTCGCTGGGACGCACAGCCCTGCACTGCTGTGGATACCTTTTTGGGGCCTCCAAAAAGGGCCTCTTAAAAGGGCCCCAAAAAGCACCTCCAAGGGTAATTGAGGGTTTTATAGCCAGAAGCAATGACTGAAACATGTTAGATCTCTTTAGGGTGTTGGAAGGGTTGCATTTTTGGGTCTGGTGTCAGCTGGGATCCTCATGAACATTGTCATAAGCAGGCTGTGAGTGATTGTTTGCTCTCTGATAATCAAAGGTGGCCATGTGGATCGACATGCTTGATCGGAAAATCATCTACACATGAGCGCAAACTCGGGGATATATTGCCAGAAAGTACGACCGACAAGTATGTACAGTATGATATAATGGTTCCGTTCACTTTTCATGATTCACCTCAAGGACGTGAAAATTATTCTGTGAATTACAACGGTTCAATCATGTGACTACTGTAGTTACTTGCTTTTTTTATCAGAGGTTGATCCATATCCATTCCATTCATTTGATCAATCTTGTCTGGACAAATTAATGTCAGAGGCCCCTGCCAGGTATGTGCTGGGCCGTTGCAACCGTCAAGTCGCAGGGCAGCCCATGTGGTGCCCACCCATTATGCACGGAGTTTCTGTGATTCAGATTTTAAAAAAACGTCCCCAAATTCACCATAAATTGGTGGTATAAACCATTCCCAAATGGGTGGTTTATGACATTGTTTTACCCCCTTTATAAGCATGATATATGATACACATATTCGCAATATGTTTGTGTGTACGTGTGTGTGGTACAACCAAGAGATATGTTACCAATGAATATGTTCATTCCATCCCTACATGTGATGAATCTAAATGTTAATGAATGACTATTGCTATTTCCGGGGTGAAAAGGGTTAAACCACAAAATTATGAATTCGGTATTCAACAGACTGCGCTCAAAATGTCTTCCAACTGAACATCACAAGTTGTTTTCCTTCGTTCCCTCACTGCTTCACCGCTATCAGTTTGTACAAACTGAAGTTCAAATCTCAATTCGCAGCGTCCAAACAGGTGTTTTTTTTGGACATGTTCAGGAATCCATTGGGCCCCCTTGGGCCTTCACGCCCAAGGAGCGGCTTCCCATGGTTTTTCCCCATGAGATTCTGGAGGTACACCTTCTTCGCAATCAGCTTTGCCTTAGCCTCATTGCTCGGTGCGGCGCTTGGAGATTACCTCTTCCACAACACCATGGAGGCCGGGCAGTGGCCCAGTGGTAGCTTTTAGAGCAACACTCCCCAACAAACAGTGTAGAATTAGGTCGAATCCTACTAGGATAGTGGATTATAGTGGTATGTTTTTGATTGTTTTGGAAGATTGCCTTTTCTCCTGTTGCTTGAAGGTTTACCCCCTTGTCACCTGCACCACGTCGCTTTTCGCTTCCCATGCTCCTCATTGCGCAGGCAGCCTTCAACTTCCAGAGCATGAGCAGCTATTCTGCTTGCATCCCAGGATGATGTTACTTTATCTTAGACTGGCAGTTCCATTGTCTCTCCCTGTGCGGCCTGAACTTACAGTGAAGGGTCACAGGATATCAATCGATAGAATGTGTCTAGCTGGTAAGCGATGGTAAACCCCCATGGCCCCTGCTTCTGCATCTGTCACAGATCTGCATGATCTGCATAGAAATTTTGGTTGCCGACAACCTTTAAAGAGTTCAAGTATTCACTCCCTCCTTGTCCAACATTACCAAAGCTGGATGGAGTTTACTTCGACACCTACCTAGGATGATGACCCCTGCATATTTTTGGGATAGGTTGTTGAAACCACAGATTCCACTCATTTCCACTCACCCTGAATCATGTAGGATGTGTACTCCATGAAGGGATATCGTTCTACTCCGTTTCTCCGCGGCTTCCTCCCAGGCGGTCGATCCGGCAAAGCAAAAGGGACAAGAGATCATGGAGCGCCAGCTGGGAGATTTTTATTGCCATTTGGTTATGACTAACATAGCCATGGAAAATCACCATTTTTAAGTTCGGTAAACCATCTATTTCGATTAGGGCCATCTATACCATGGCAAACTGTTAGTCATCACCAGAGGGTATGTCTGTAGACGGGGGGCCGTGTGTCATCCCGCAAATTGACCCCAAAGGATCGAACAAAAGGTGGCCTGAGACGTAGCCTGGGGGAAACATAGACGCGGAAAATCCACTGTTTGTAGATTGTTGTTTAAGGAAACCATAGCCTTTACACATCTATGTTAGTTTACCCTAGGGCACTCTTAATTATCATTAAGCTCTTCGTACACCCGACCCTACTGGTCACTTTCTTCTCTCCTCGGAGCGTTTTCTGTACCACGACTGGTCAATAGGTGGAGTTGATAGAGTTCATGATAATCTTAAGATATTCAACACCCCCTAGAAACCTTGCTTTAGCATATCCTGCATCTTATCGCATATATCCAGGCTCAACTCCACATGGCAGGATGCTGGAAGAGTCTATTTCTCTTCTGGCAGCAAATTGGACCTTTCCAAGCCTTGAACTCAGGTTTTCTGCCATGAAAGACACGCAGTGATGACTGGATGATCGGCTAGCGGCTAGTCCTGCTTGCCCTTCATGAACATTCAACAGATCCTAGTAGATCATTCTCAGAAGGAGAACGGCCCATTTCCCATAGCAACATCCAAATCCTCAAGAGCAGATAGAGAGAGAGAGAGGGAGGGAGAGAGCTATGAAATATTGATTGTTGTCAGTTTTCAATAGTTACCCTCTGGTTATTTAACATAGCCATGGAAAATCACAATTTTTAATATGTTTTTAATAGGTAAACCATCTATTTCTATGGGCCATCTATACCATGGCAAACTGTTAGTCATAACCAGATGGTATCATAGATCATCATGGTCGATTTCTGGGGCGGGCTGCCTGATCATCTCTGGTTTTCCCGCCCGCTGGTTTGTCCGGCTGGACTTGGATCCCGAGGTCTATGAGCTTTCACAACTTTGAAGAGTGCCGTGGTGAAATGGATGTACATCACATCATGTTTCTTCATTGCTTTGCATCTAATACATGTGAATACCCAGTTGTGTATTTTATTGTTGTGCGCAAACACTTTAAACCAGAAAGGCCAACTGTGTATATAATATATATATATACATTGACCTCACTAATCTATATATATATATATCAACTATACTGAATTGCCTTTTTATATTTATATATATTGACATTACAGGGACCATGGATATTTACGCCTACATGTGCCATATCTTACCATTCATCGCTGCCAGGTATTGCGTGGCGCCAATTGTTCATGGCGACATCGAACTGGCGCCAGGGCCTGATTTTTTTCACGACTTGCTGAGAGATGGTGCGGAAAATTCAGTGCCCTAAGTGGCTTTTCCCATATTATATGTATATTTATATATATATATATATATTTATATATATATATATTGTGTATATATATATAATATATATATATTATATTTATTTATGTTTAATTATATATATACACACAAAAGGCTTAGGATTGGTGTATTCTGTGAACTTGTGGGTGCGGGACCCATGGAGCTGGGGGGAAACAGCGATCGAAACCACATCTGGTTCATAATATCACTGGAGGACCACTGGGGGCATATGATTAACTCCCTCTATATCGGGATGCACATCCAGATATAGCTCTGAAGTACACCATGGAACCCCTTTGGGGTTCCATGGCTTTGGGGATGTTTCCCTTTTCATGCAACGTTTGACGGCATTTCAGTTGCTGAATCTGTGGCTAAGCCCATAATTCGCCGGATGCTGATTAAATCCTCATGATGTTTCTAAACTGGAAGCCATGACCACTTTGGTTCCAGGGTGAGGCCCTACCCTCTGGTAAACCAACAGTTTGCTATTGAAAATTGCCATTTATAGTTGATTTACCCATCAAAAATGGTGATTTTCCATAGTTATGTTTGTTTACCAGAGGGTAGTAGTGATAACTTTCCATGGCAATCAGTTAAATTGTGAGAGAGAGAGAGAGGGAGAAATAGATAGATGAGGGTATTCTACCCAGCTAAATACATGGAACCACCTGAGACTCAAGTTATATATAAAATTTAACAATGTTGTAGGGTATCAAAAAGTGACTGGTATCTGATTCCAATCATTTCTCTAAAATTCGCCTCTACCCTTTAATTCTTCGAGGTTCTTTTTTTCCAGCTTGGAACTCGCCGAAGACTCAGGTCCTACGACTTCTGGGCTGTGGGCACCAATTGCTGTAACCAACGGGATGGCCTCTTTCGCTGCGGCGAGTGCCCTGATGGAGCTTTGGGGGGAAGGTTTACTCCCAAGAATGGCTAGTAAAAATTGGGAAAACAATGATTCTTGTGATATGACCACAAGATTTCCATAATATTCCATATATGAACGTGATTCAAGATGGTTTATATCCTTGTTGATTGATCAGAAATTCAGAGTGCCCCCAACAGAAATTAGCATTTAATGAGCATTTAGTGCATTTAATGGGCATGTTATATGGGATGATATGGGATGACATTCTGATGTGGAAAATAAGAACAAGCCACTGGATTTTGGCGTCAACTTGTGGGCCAACCTCACTGATCAACGAAGCAATGAGAGTTGATCTATGGGGAATACCATTTGGTAATCAAACATGGCAATTTTAAATCCACCATGTATAGATTTTAGATACTTCTCCCATTAAAAACTTCATTTATACAGGATTTGTCATTGCCATGTTTAGTTGCCGGTTGGTATTCAATTCCGGATTTGGGAATTGTTATATATGGTCAAGGTTTACTGTAGCAAATCATTCAAATCTGACGCAAGGAAGGCTTTGAACCGGTTTTTGGCTTTTACCGATTGCCCAAGTGGATGATCAATTTCTCACTGGATGGGGGTCGTGTTGCCAAGGTATGCGAACATTCATGCTCGTTCCGGGCTTCGCTACATGGACCAGGCCAGAACTTTTGTCGCATTCATTCGTTTTGCGCCTCCTGATGTCCGAATGTACAGGATGATGTTGTTTTTGCACCATGTTTTTTTGTTGCATTTGTTTGCAATGTCTTGAAAACTACGGGCGATAAGATCATATGCAACGACTGTTCTTTGTTGACCTTAGATTTCCACTGTCAGATTTTGCTTGTGGATGTCTATTTGCCATGCTTGGCACTGTCGGACCTTCTGCTCGTGCGCCAGTCCAAAGTGCAAGGTGCGTGCTCCCAATAACACAGGCTTTTTGCTGCTTGCAGTAGGCTTATGTTACCTCATTCAACGTATTTGAAACAATGTTTAAATTATATAAATATATGGCAGTAATTACCTTTTATTATATTATATATATATACCCCTATTTAAATACCTTAATTGTGACGAACTGCGCTGTTTTTTTCCTCTCCGGAGTTTGACCGAATTCGCTTCAGGAGAGGCAGCAGCATTTCATGTCAGCTGTGAAGCAAGCGGAAGCAGCTTTCGGTATCAAGGTGGCTTTGGATGCGGGTCCACAGTTCTATAGTTAATGTCAACCCCGGACAAACATGAATTGGTGGGGTCGTTCATGAATGAGGGGGGTCCCGAAAACGGTGATACTTCCAATTGCAAATGGTAGAATGCCTCCAATTTTTGGCTGACATTGAGGTGCCATTCTGTTTCAAAGGTGTTTGTAAACATTCCCATAGTAAACAAATATTGATCTCAACATGTTTTCGTCGGTCATCCAGCCAGATGATTTGCCTTCAATGTCCTACAAACATCACCAAACAGAAAGAAAAAACATTGCTATGATCGAGTTTTAAGACCTCCCACTGGTACCATTCCAATGTTGGAGACTCCTTTGATGATTCCATAGGACATTTGTATCATACCCACTCCTCCATAGTCCATAGTATCGAGTCGCTATTCAGAAAGTGAGTTGAGGATGTCCTTGCCTGTTGTGGGACATTTACCCTCTAATTAATTAAAGCCATCCCAAACGCTCCAGGGTCAAACTGTCAGTTTTTCTCGGTGCGGTGGCACGGTGGTTTTTGGAGGCTAAACACCCCTTGCTCTTCACTTGGCTTCAAGATCCACTGGCGATGATTAACACCAAGGCCAGAGTTGCCCTCCAGTCATCGTGGCAAAAAAGAAAATCCCCTGGAAAACATCTGGAAAATCATCTATAAGTTTATAGATGTTTGTAGTCATAGATAATTTTCCCATCAAACATCGATGACTTTCCCAGCTTTCCGAAGCATCTCCTTTTTTAGGATTTCCCAGCCTTCCAAGTTGGCGCTTGGGCCTGGACTGCACCCCCAACAGAACCGTGCTGTTGGATCTGTTGGTATACCACGATTGGAAAAAAGGACTTAAGTTTGTTGGGGATATGTATTTCACTATAAAAATGTGTTTCTATACTACTGAGTTACTGCATTGTTTTCTTGATTATATAATGATATTAATGTTGGTTGCTGTTTGAGTAGAAGATGTCACGAGCAACGAATGCATAACACACGAGCGATTCCGCTTTCTTTGTCCTGGTCCAGTTTCAGCACAGGTCGCCTCAGCCTGGCATTTCTATTATGTTGGCGCCTGGGGTCCCAGAGACGCCGGACTATGGCGGAGATTCGGTCCACCAAGTTATCCAAACGGCATGATGTCGTTTGGAGCGGACTCCCGGACCCATGTCCAGAGAGATTATTAAGTTATGGTGTCTATCAAATCCGGTTCAAGTCCAATTCTGGTATATGATCACATGGCCAATATGTGTATATAACTATATGTGCATATAACTATAACTATTTACATATATTACATGCGTATATCACAATTCCAACACTAAAACCCAAGCATTCTATGCTTTCGTTTGAGAGGTGTTTCATACTGATGAGGAAAGCCATTCTCTATATTATACATAGATGATACATTATGTATAGTCTATCTATCTATCTATCTATCTATTTGTCTATCTATCCATCCATCCATCCATCTATCTATCTATCTATCTATCTATCTATCTTTATATATATATATATATATGTGTGTGCGTGTGTGATATGTCTCTGTATTTCATATATCATAGCACTGGCAGGCTATGCCGTGTGCCATGCCGCTGCGTTGTCACGAAGGTCGGCACCTTTTTCTTCACGAACCTCTTCGGCGTGATCGTCGCCCTGATGGCTTTCTCTCGCTTGGGCCATTTGTGAAGTGCCGCCAGTGCCGGAAGAAAAGGTTGGCACCAATGAGGCAGCACAGAAGTTGTCACATCTGCGGGATGGACTAGTGGGGCAACATATGAAAATATCATGAACCATATGGTTCATGACTATCAATGTGAACTTTTGGTAACTATCTGTTCAAATGGTACACATGATCATAATTATGCATGCGAAGAGGCATGTTGGAAGACGAGCGAAAAAGGTATAACTATTTATCATTTCTCATTATTAACTATGGTGCACCTGGGATGGTGATTGATAATTAAGATAACATCAGCATCCGCTAGGTTTCATTTGCCGTGACATTTGCGATGGTATTTGCGTATGTGATGTGTGGAGGTATCTTTTATTGTATTTGTTCGTTGGTTTTAAAAATGGTTCATCTTCCAACCCTATTTGGCATGATGTCCTCTTTTGGGTGCGACCACTACGCAGGAATACGGGTACTGCTCGGAATATTTTTTTTTGATTTAATCCCTAAGGTCGGAAAATCTGACATTGACATCAGGGCATCTCCATATCTACTCCGGGGATATGAGATCACGTACAATCACAGTTCGTGTATGGGTCAAAATTCTTCGACCCCTGTAGGTATGGGTTTATCTGAGACTAACATACCCCTTAAGGGGAATCATATTGTCCCAACTTGAAATGTTGTTTGGGGGTATACCTTATTTGCAGACACACCCAGATATGATATCGTGCATTAGTTCTATCCTATGATATCCTGTTTGATATCTCATCGCTTAGAAAATTTTCCGACAGCTCCTAACGCCTTGGGGTTTGGGGGCCTCTTTGGACCACGATAGGCGATTGGGTATTGTCAGCTTTTAGCGATGCACAAGCCAAGAAACCACATATTGTCGCTTAGTTCTATTCATAGATAAACCATACTTGATCCTGTTATGTATATAGGTCTGTCATGATTTGTTGGTGAGAGAACCCCCACATGCTCACCGTGCACGCGCAAGTTGCCAAGGCCTCCTGCCTGGGCGATGCCGGATCCACCAAAGGCGAGGCCAAGCGAAGGCAAGGCGGCATCCGAGCTGGTGTCCTAGTAACATATCATTGCAACAATATATGGAGAATCTATGGGTTAATAATATGGAGGATCTATGATTAATCTATGGCTAATATGGAGAATTTTATGGTTTATCTATGGATAATACGGAGGATCTATGGTTAATCTATGGATAGCATGGAGAATTTATGGTTTATCTACAATGAGGTGCCTTGACATATCTATCATTTTATATATTGTAATTATATTTATATAATGTTATAACATGGGTTAAGTATATTTATAAATGGGGCTATCTTGTATAAGTCATGTTGAATTTATATCAATAGCTAGGGAGATATAACATGAGATAGCACATACGTCAAAAAAAGATACAAAAAAGTTAGCAAAAATAGCGGTTTTTGGTTGTCTAGAACGATGTTTTTAATGGTAGCCATTTTTTTTGCCCGAGTGAAGCGCTAAATCCTTGAAAGCATGGCAGAACCAGGAACCGCTGTCGCGCAGAGAGCGACATTGCAGGATTTCAAATCTTGCAGTTCTTTTTAATCGCAAGAAGTTTGGAACGCTTTGACAGCTGGAACAGAGTCTCGTGGCCTATAGGCCTTTTTTCCTTATACAGCCTTGCAGAACATATCGCTGACGCAGTGTTCCCGGGAGAAAACAATGGCTGGCCTAGTGTGGAGGGATGAGAGAAACTGCATCTGGAAACGCGTGAGTATATCCAATAGAATAGACCAGAAAAACAAAGGAACGCGCATGTGTCGCCTCTTCATTAGCCAATAAAAGCATAGATACGCGCGTGTGTTTCCCGAATGTATGTAGATAATACATAAATACATATGTGTTTCCCAACATAAACCCAACAGAGATTGCAAACGCGAATGTATTAAAAATGTGTTTCCACCTACAATCACATGACGGCGCAATATGTAATTAAATGTTTGGGATGTGTTTCCACAAAAAGAAGAGAACGCACTTGTGTATCCTCATGAAAATATTAAAAATAGAAGGGAACGCGATGGTGTAACCACGTCTCAGACCAATTGCATGTGTAAACGCGTATGTGTTAAACATGTGTTTTTTTGTGTTTCCTAAAAACTGTGAAGGACTCTTTCACAACCTTCCAAAACAAAAAACAAAAAAATGTTGTTGAATACACGTGCATGACAAACATGCATGTGCCTGCATGGACCACTGCCAAAGGCAACGTGGTCATGTTTTTACCCTAATTTGTTCGCATTTCGCGATCACAAACCAAATAGCAGACACGCAATGGAAAAACAACACAACTGGACAGGCACACATGCAGGATTGAAAAACATAGTACAGATTAGACAATATGCAAAAAAATATAACTTAACTTACAAAAACTATAACATAACTTAACACAACTTCAAGTTAACTTCCTTAAGTCCTTTTATAAAAACCATAAGTCCAACTTAACTCAGGGCACCATCCAGTATGGATAATACGGAGGATCTATGGTTAATCTATGGATAATATGGAGAAATTATGGTTTATCTATGGGTAATACGGAGGATCTATGGTCAATCTATATATGGATAATATGGAGAATTTATGGTTTATCTATGGATAATACAGAGGATCTATGGTTAATCTATGGATAATATGGAGAATTTATGGTTAATCTATGGATAATACGGAGGATCTATGGTTAATCTATGGATAATACGGAGGATCTATGGTTAATCTATGGATAATACGGAGGATCTATGGGTTAATCTATGGATAATATGGAGAATTTGTGGTCTATCTATGGATAATACGCAGAATCTAATCTATGGTTAATCTATGGATAATATGGAGAATCTATGGTTAATCTACGGGTAATCTAGGGTTTATATGTGGTGAATACCATCGGTGTCATGGGAACTGGATCCCCTTACCGTTACCCGTGGTTTCAGTATCAAAATGGGCAACATATATCATGACTTGAATGATTTGGGGGTACCCCCATGACTTCGGAAAACTCCATATTGTTAACGATTATTATTATTATTCATGTGGTAAGCCTAACAATAAACCATCCCCAAAAGCACCATTTTTATGGGTGGTATAAGCCATCCCCGACTGGTAGGTGTATTTTTGGGTTGCCCAAATTAGTTTTAGAATTATCACTTAGTTACTCATGTTACGATGTCTTCATTTGTGCTTAATAGATGCATATGTATATCGACACGTGTGTATATATATAGTTGATTGGCTATCTCACTGACATTGATCATTGCTTGCATATGTACATGTGCGTGTACCGGAGTTTGCGCGCAGGTTTGAAGGGAGACTGACAAGTATTTAACATGCGGAATGTCATTGAATGCCCATTGCAGTAGTGATGACTGACACCCCAGAACAAAAGAGGATCACATCCTTGTTTGAAAGCATTGAACTGAACTAAAACACTAAACTTCACTTGTACTTTATGTATTTATATGGAAATTTAGTGCAAATCATAATCATCACAAACAAAGGGTCGCACGATTTGCTGCCGGTCAGGAGACAGTTTGGCAATTACTGCGTGCCTTGGCCATGACGAGACTTATGTCACATGATTGCCTGTCCTCCGGATATATTTTGGGGCCGAATTTGGGGATAATCTCATATTCCTTTGCGGCGTGCCTTATTTGACTAAATAGAATTTGACAGTTCGACTAGGTTCGCATTGCATGGTTCAAGATAAAAAATCTGGGCAAAAACCAGCCAACCTGCAACAAACTGCACAGGAAAGAGCAAACTAATTGACAGATGACAGTGATTACATTTGTATATGGTTATTTTTGGCCTATATTTCTTGTGAAAATGCCCCGCCCAGGCGTGCTCACAGTGGTTTGCACCTCAGAAGGCCCTGGCTCCTTCAAGATACAACTGGTTTGATGGAAAATCACCTGTTTGGTGATTTGGAACTGTTTGTATTTTTCCATATGTTGGGAATAGTTTTCCTAACTGACTTTCATATTTTTCAGAGGGGTATGCTCAACCACCAACCAGTCACCCGAACTCATGGCCGTTTTCCCATGGTGTTTCCCATCATCTAACTTTTCATTTTCATCCATTTTCGCATTTTCGATGGCATGTTTGATCACCAGAAGCGTTTTTTTTTTGCGGGGGGGTGGTTACCATACAGAATGGATGATTGGTTGAGATGACTCGCATATTTTTGGGACGGGTTAGCACCAATTGAAAAAAACAAGCATTAAACCATGATCGACCATCATAAATGGGAGCCCCCAGTACTTCTAGATTGCACTCGGATCAATCCATCGAAAAGCAATTCGGAACCACATTGTGCAGAGAGGGAATACTTGTCACTGGGTGGTTTAGGCACTTCATATAGCTGCGTGACGCTTGACGGGCCATCCAATCGTTTGATTCTGTTGACCGAGGAGACGCCCTTATGGAGGCCCCCAAGAGGAACAAGAGTGTATGGGACGCCCAAAGTCACGGTGGTCACGGTGTTGCTTTTGAAGAGTTGAAAAAAACATGACCACCTATATATATTGGGATTACCATGGTATTACCATAGAAAAGGTGCCCCTTATTTTTTCGGGGCAACTTTTTGCACCAACTTCCGTGGTAAAATCGTATAGAAATGAAGACGCGTCACTTTTCTCGGTGGTTGGGGGGCTAAAGGTGATCCAAATATGATGTGATGTCCTCGATCTTCAATTTTGACAGATTCCTTGCATTCCTTTATCAATGACCGAACGATGGCGTTAGCCAGCAATTTCAGTGATGACGCTCAAAACAGGGTATAAGTTCAATCTGAATCTAAGGTGGATTCGCCAAAATCCGGGAGTTTGTTTTCTTCAAACCTGGATCCAGTGTCTATTTGTCATGTTTCATCATTCACTGGCTGGTGGTTTGGAACATGTTTTATTTTCCCCAAGAGTTGGGATGATGATCCAATCTGACTTTCATATTTTTTCAGGGGGTAGGCATACCACCAACCAGTTCATATCACCTGTTTGTTGGGTGCCCCATGGATGCTTGGCATCGACGTCCCGGATGTCAAGGTCAGCCTTCCAACCTCCAGCCGGACGCCACAAAGGCGAGTGGGGAAGATGTCAAATTCTGCGATTCCCTAGGTGAGTGTTGATTGATGTTGATGGTTTGATTGATATGTTTTTGAAATCACGATTTTCTAGATGCATCATGATGCATCTATCATCTATGTAGCGTGTGTTGTTTTTATTCCCGGTCCTGCAGGGTGATTTGTTGAGGGCCCGCGTTCGCCCTGTGGATCGGCAGGGCACCTGTAGATGACGAGACAGGCTGGATTTGAGCAGAGACTCTCGTATCGCCTCATGACACTGCCGCGGATCTCTATGAAAATGGAGGAGCAACGCTTCACATTTAGTCAAACCTGGCAGTTGGAAGTCCATTTTGATTCATGTGTCAGTATTTGTTCAATGGAGATCTCCTAGAAGGGGATTCTAGTGCCACGTTGGAGTACCAGAGGGTAAACAGTAAACAACGACAAGCGCGCGAGATGTCCTTTTTGTTTTTTGGAGGCCTGCAAGAATGTTGAAATGGCAAAACAATGCAAAACATAACATAAACCAACCCACAGATTTCCACAGATTTCCACTGCAACATGGATGGCCAGGTCAACCAGCTCAACGTGCATCGAAGACGGGCTCAGGCAGGGCCCATGTAGCCTTGATGAGTGGGGAAGAAGGGCCCACATGTAACCAGCATCTTATAGTGTTTTGTTGCTGCCGGAAGCTAACAAGAAAACAAACAAGGAAGCCGGGCGTTTGCACACCTCACTGCTCAGAAAAATGGGGCATTGGAATTTCCAATGCGTGTTTCTTGGAAGTTCTTCGTGGAACCATGTGGAACCCCAAATGATCTATGGGTGGGCATCCTTGTCCCTTTTTGCTGTATGGTTCCAAGTTCATATGCTACTTGCAATGGGGCTCTCCTTGCAACGACCTCCAAGTGCGGGTCTTGGAATCTGGCCATGACCCTCACGTTGGATGACTCATTCTGAAACCCAGAATCTTGTGTCGCATGTTATCGCTTCATAAATGTCCCCGGTCCCCGCCATTTTCGGACCATTTCGGGTGGCTTAGCTCTGTCTTGCTGTGCCAAGGTGCTCGTAAAACTGCAGATCGATCTTCACCAGGCGGCTGCCGGGCTGCATCAAAACATGCGACTCGTGCGTTCAGATGAGTCAAGAGGCTTGCAAACGTGTGGATTGGATTTGTTCTTGTTAGAGATATATCATATATAGTGTCCATCAGCGTCCAATCCTTTCGAAGGAACTTGTGGCAGCACATCATTGAATCATGGTCCATGTGATTGAAACTTTCTTGTTGGTGATTCCTTAGTGAGCCAGCGGTGTTCCATGAAAATCCTTGTTGAAGAGCTCTGGCGTTTTTGCATTGCTGATCTAGACGCATCGGCTTCTCCTAGCATTATTGGCTGTTGGACCCAGTATTTTTTGATGATCATTTGGCAGCAGGGATCCCGCGTGAAGACTGTTGGGAGAGATGCCACTCTTTTGGGACAACCAGAGCGCTTTTTCACATCCACCTGCCAGGGGGACAAAGTGGTGCCAGTCTGGATCTCGATTCGCCAATTTTTTTTGCTGCTTCCCATGTGCTGGGTAACATTGAGCAGAGGTTCAAGCGATATGTGGCCGGGAGTGCAGGGGCTTTAATTATGTGCTTTCAAAACGTGCTGCGTATCATGTTCGCTGCAGCTTATGTGCAATTGATTGCCACAAGGGAGGATATTAGCAATCTATAGCCATTTTACCTCTATTATATGTCTATATATAGTTACGATTATTTAAGCAATTTAAACCCACTGTACCTGGGTTGTTGGGAGCAACCCTGTATATACAGTAGCTAGAGCTGAGGTTCGCACAAGCCGCAAGACCGATCTTCACCCAAGACAGGCGAGTGGCCGTCCATCCCACTTTCGGACTGGCATCCCACTTTCAGAGATGAAAATTTTGAAAGATAACTGATACATGGCATCCCCGGTGATCCTTAAAGGACTAAAAACATCTAAAAACGCCTTCACTTTTCGGCGCATTTGATATATTTGATCGCCAAGACACACTGGTTTCTGCTGACATTTGGCGCGAGCACGTGACAGTCATGCTCCATTTACCAAACATGTGCACTATGTGGGCCTTGGGTCATTACATTGCCTTCCCTCTTCAATCCTAGCTGTCTTAGCCTTCTCACCGCCCTCAAGCTGTCCAACAAAGGTCGTGGCAAAGTGCAGATTGACGAAGGCTGGAGTGAGCTTGGCAGTCTGGTGGCCACCAGCTCCACATTGGATGTCAATGATTGTCATGCATCATAGATGTCATACTGGTTGGTGGTTTGGAACATTGTTATTTTTCCATATATATATATACTGTATTGGGGATAATCATCCCAACTGACTCATATTTTTCGGAGGGGTTGAAACCACCAACCAGCATATGATATCATAGTCTTTTCGCTCAAATTTCTATCAAGTAACAGAGCCAAGAAGCGGTTGGTGGTTTTCATAGTCCAACTCAAGGAGGCCTGCTGTACCCGTCTCTGAGTCTCTGAGCTGGTTTTTTTCCGCCACTCTTTCATTTCGTGGTGTCCACCGTTGGAAGTGGAATCACGAAAGGCTTGTTCAATAACCCATAGGATCCATGTATGGTATATATGCTAACATTGGGGGTATATTGATGGTAAATGTTACCATATATATATATAGCATACATGGATCCTATGGGTAATGAAGATTGGTGAAGCCCTAGATTTGTCTATGCCGTGATGCCGTGACTTAGAGGAACCTCACTTGGAATATCGAAATGCCACACCTCCAATCAAGGAGCCAGGCTATGAAAATCCTCAAAAATCCTTGGCTTGGAAGGACAAATGAATAGAAATCGGGGTTTCCTAAAATGGGAACACCCCAATAGCTGGATGGTTTATACTAATGTTGATACTGGAAAAGCCATGGAGAAGCCTTTTTTCAAATGGATGATTTGGGAGTAGCCCTAGGAAACCTCCAAATGTGCTGTCCATATCCCAGGGGATGAAGCTGGTGGTCACCTCAGAGATGGAGAAAGTCAGCAATAGATGGGGAAAATGGTGAAAGATCACTCGCCAAGCTAAGTATAATATTATATATATATGTATGATTATACATGTAGATAGATAACGTGTATGTATATATATATATATGTTTATTTATATAAAATATACATATCGATGGATAATCCGGAATTGCAATGGAGAGAGGGAGAGAGAGAGACAGAGAGAGAGAGAGATATATATATATAAACCGCGAATAGGGATAGAGTCATCATGGTTGAATAAAGTGGCTGCTTGTTTTGAATTCTTTTGCCCACCTCTAAAAACCGGAAGATGAATATAATATTCGGGATAGCCTGGCGTCAGTAGCTTCAAAAGTCAGTGACAGGATCTGATTCTGGGTCCCACTGGATAATCTGGATTTAGGTAGAGGGGTGGGGTTAATTGTGGGGGCGCGCAGCAAGCAATGAAGCACTGATGAGTTGGGAGTTTGCCAAACAGGGAGCTCATGAAAGAAGTGACCACTTTTTGTTCTTTGACTGTTCAAATGGACCAGCTTTAATCAAAACAGATAGTGAATGTGATCGTACCAGATTCTGCAGCCATGTGGTCGGTTCCCTGCCATCCATTTTTGAAGAAGCCGGGTTACATTCAGTGGCCATACCAGACATCTCCAGCAGACGTCCCCCCATGTCCCCCCAGGTCCCCCCATGTCCCCTTCGTCGAACATCTTCCAAGCTGTGTTGGAGGTACCCGCAAGCCACAAGATCGATCTTCGCCCAAGACAGGTGCTTGGTGTGTTTTTGGGAAGGCCTTCATTCTGTTGGTGGTTTCTTCCCAAAATGTAAAATTTAACAAAAAAATAACACACGCAAGCGTATGCATATACATATACATATACATTATACATTATACATTTTACATTATACATTTTACATTATACATTATACATATACATACACATATACATATACATACAATAAAATATATAATATACATGCATGATGGATTGAATTTGACAGTTTACATGGTTATTTATTCATCTATCATTAGTGTTAGTACTGTTTTAGCTCATCAAAAACCGATCAGTGTCTTCTCAATGGATTGGACAGCACGAATCGACATTTGGACGATTCCTGTCGAAGAAATGCGATGTTTTTCCGATTGGTCCTGTGTTGGCACCGGCATCCACGCACTATCAGTATCATCCAGTATCTACCAATAGCGCCAATTACTTCATGGATAATTCACATGACTAACATGTGCCACCTTACTAGTGCCAAACCATCCCAAACTCAAACCTGAGCTAGCCAAACGGCATGATCCCTGACTCTGATGGCTGGCAGGTCGCGGCAACGTGCAGATTGATGAAGGCACATGCCTTTTTTCACATTGTTTTGGACCTGCAGTCTTCTGGGTGAATGAATCCCTTCCCACTACAGTCATTTATTTATTAAACTATGTATATTAAACTCATTAAATTAAAGTCCCCAGAAAATCCCAGAATCCATGGTGGATGTGGGACATTTCTATTTACACATGGGGTGTTTTTTTTCGGGGATGGGATGATGGGCCACGAGGTGCTCGTCGCAAGGCCGCGGGGCACAGCTCAGCCTTCCCAGGTCGGATGTGAGGGGAGCCTTGCTGAATCATGCATCATTTACACGGGAATAAGATGGAATAAGCACAGTTAAAGCCCTTTATCAGTGATTGTGATGGTTAATGATGGTTATATATACATGGGGTTATCATTCTGGCTAGAATATAGATTATATAATAGTGACCTCACGTCGTGACCTCACTGGAATCATGGTTAGGATTTGGGGAATCATCCCCATAGCTGGCTGCAAGTTTCAGCATGGGTCGGAGGACTGGAAGATGAGTGGTCGCAACGTTTCAATGATGATTTACCTAATTAGATCATTCAACGTTTGCAAGGAAACAACCGGGGGAATCACTTGATACAACGGGGATATAATGGTAGTATTATATATGTATATATATATATATTCTTTACCATTTGAATATGACGTGTTACAAGGTGGTGCCCAAGTGAGCTAAATCGCGAAGTTGGTGATGCGGATATACCCGCACTTGCCAATGGGAAATGCTTAAAAAACTTACAAACTATCGGACTTTGGGGATCTTATTTTCCGACAAACCCATTAAAAGAGTCTTTTCTGTGGTTTGAGGGGGGAAGATAGATGAAGAGTTGACTGGCTGAACCGGGGTTCCAAGCCGCCTTGCCCTAAACCCCGGAGTCACAGTTAAGCATTGGTCATTGGCCATTGTTTCCGCACAGATTTATTTGTCTGGCTATGTCTGGCTGGACCCGACTTTGTCACGAATGGTTTTGGTGTGGTGCATCCCATTGAGTACCACTCCAATGTGATCCGACGAGTTTGCAGGAGCGCTCTGCAATCCGAGACGCTCTCCACGGTGCAGTGCTATGAAGAAGCTGAGCACTGCCGGAGCGTACTACATGGTCTACGACATGACCACCAAAGGCACGAATGGAAAATATCAGCAATGGACTTCACCCACATCTACCAGTTCACTGACTGCATAAGCCTGGAAGCTCACCTGCATCAAGCAGGTGCTGGAACGGCTGGAGACAAGAGGCTAGCAATAGACGTGAGTGAGCTATTTGCGTCAAGTCTTGTGGCGTCGATGTGGAGAGGAGAATGGAGATCCCCTTAATGGAGATCATGTACCAAAAGATACAACCAGCCACGCCATATGGGTGGAAACTAAAACCATGCTGGCGGACTGCCTCACGAAGAAGATGAAATGTGACCAGATGGAAAAGCTGCTGCGTGATGGATCCTTGGCCTTTATGACATGAACAAAGAGAACAGCAAGAAAGCCCTGGCCAGATCCCGCAGAGAAATGAAAGCAGTCCCATCCTTGGTCTGTAAAGAAACCATGGGTGTGAAATCAGATGGTGAAACTTGCATGCACAGCACGCATCCAGCACAGCCCAGGATGTGACATGTTTGCCAAGCCGACCGTGGCTCAAGCCCTCGCTGACAGCGAAAAGGTGAGACTGCGCCATCTGTTTTGCACTAACAAAGATCCAGGTATCAACGCGCGTTTTCCCCCACAGGCCCCCATCTTTCACCGAGTTTGTGTCTATGATTTGGCGCAGGTTTGACCAGCAAAAAGACAGACGCGCAAGAAGATGAGCAACCTGCAGCACCAGGCGTTGCCGGTGGTTTACCCTTTGTTTTTCTTTTCGGCGTAAAACGTAGTAAAAACGATGATGATTGCCACGGAAAACCAGGTAAAACCCTGAAACCTAACCAATCCATAAATCTAGATATTGAAACAGAAAAGGGCGAGAGTTGTGATATGTTGTGATATGTATTGGGGATTGGCTTGTAATTTGTGATATGATTGGTTCTTGAATCCAAAAACTGATAGGGCACAATGTCAAATTTGCGGTTCCATTGCTGCGACCTTTTCGTTTGACACGGCCATTTCGCGTCACTCAGCTGTGGCTCAAAACCAGGTTCTCTCAGCTGAGGGCTTGAGCAAATCCCACCAAAACATCCAACACAAGGGGATGAATTTCCTATATCGATTTCTATCCCCATGTGCAAATCATTAAACAAATCATTAAAGGTACCCCGCCACACACACACAGTAGTAAACTGGCCTGGTGGTTTCAAACACGTCGTATTTTCATGGATTTTCATATTGTTCCGTCCCAGTTGGGATGATGCAATCGTCGCAAAACAGTTATATCAGTACTTCCAAGCACAGATTTCAATGTACAGATTTCATATGTTCAAACTCAAATTGTACTCACTTTGCAATTTTGTATCCCATGTCAATAGATCAGCAGAAATGGATCATTTATGATCATTTCATACCTCATGGATGCTTCCAGGAATAACAAACTACCTAAACTCAATTCACTATTTGGAGGTTATTGCAAACCATACCTGTTTTCCTGTGTGTTTTTGTTGACGGGAGTTAAAACCACCAGCCAAGACTGTTTCTAGTTGCATCTTTAAAATCCAAAATTTGTGAGTCGTAGCCATGGAACATCCTCCATTTATGAATGATTTTCCCACCAACCTCCATTTATACACGTGATTTACCAGCTAGCCACATTTGAATACAGGAGGGTATATCTTAGCTAAACCCAAAAGTATTGAACGTGGGGGGGCGTACGGCCATCTGAGCGAGGGTACGGCGGGCGAACGGGGGGGGAACGGGGGGGCGAACGGGGGGACGAACCGGGGGGCGAACGGGGGGGCGAACGCACACATGCACACACGTACGCACATACGTACGCACAGACGTACGCACGTACGTTCGCACGTATGCACGTACGTAGGTACCATGTTCAGACCCATGTTCAAGCCCATGTTCAGACCCATGTTCAGAAATAAGGTTACCTTTGAAAAGTGACCTCCTAATACTAAATATGCTTTAGGAGGCTTAGGGTCGTACAGAAATAAGGTTACCTTTTATATAAAAGGTAACCTTAAAGGTAACCTTATTTCTGAACATGCATGTGAACGTGCGTGCGTACATGCACATGAACGTGCGTGCGTGCATGCGTACGTACGTGCGTACATGCGTATGTGCGACCCCTTCGTGCAACCCCTTAATGCGCCCTCAAGGGGGTGGGCCCGCCCTCAAAATCGCACGGGTTTCGAATACCAACAACTTTGTACCAGTATTCTTGGGTTGTATAAGTAGGTGTAAAATAATTCGGCACAGGTTGACTGTACTAATTATCACCAGGCAAAACAAGACTAGTCGAATCGTTCGCCCGTCCGCTCGCCCCCCCGCTAACTCTTCGTGCGGTTTTCAACATATCCACGGCAGCGAGTTTTTGAGTTTAGCTAAGGTATATCCCATATTCATCCCATTTATATCCCACGGACAATATTCCATTACATAACTATAGATATATCATGATATATCTAGGGTAATCCATGAATTACTCTCCGTTATTGTCCCTTTAAAACCAGATAAAACCATCGACGTTCCCATTGCCAGATTGCTTTGCACCACGTGGCGGGGGGGGCGCCATGCCTGGTGTGGTGAGTGCGGCCGAGGCGTTCTTACAGGCGTTGTGACTTGGATCAAAAGTGGCTTGGAAAACCATTGATGTGGGCAGCCCAATGCCATAAACCTATCATTTGGGGTTTACAGCGCCCATTTATAGTGATATATGATATATCTATATTATATAATGAATTTGGGGATGATTTATTCGGTTCGCAACATAAAAATTCAAGGTCTGAATGCGAACATCATCACTAAAAGATGAATTTCCTTAGCAAAGTGTTAAATACCGGAGGGTATGTCAAGCAATGAATCAAAAAAAATGGACAATAATGATGGACGCTGGCAATGGATCATTGAGATTTCCCGTTGCCGGGTGGGATTACCAGAGGGCACAACAATATATACTATCTAGAGGTAGGAGACACCAGCTAGCACATGCACATACACCTTTATCTATGTATTTAAATAATATATGAATTCATATTGGTACAGTCATATTGTACATATGTATGTATGCAGATACGTGACTAGAGAAATGTGTTATACATGGGATAGCCCCGATGTGGAGATACATCCAGTATATAGGAGTCATCCACCACATCTAGTTTCCGCGGGTAAGTTTCCAAGGACTCAGGGCCATCATGATGGGGCTGAGAATGTAGGACAGCGCTGAGTTGGGAGATGTTGGGAGGTTGGGAGCCCTGTGAGAGATGACATGAGGCCCAGGTTTGCCCAACATTTGTGGATAACTCAATCGTTTATGGCCATGAAATCATATGAAATCATGGGAGCAAAACTGAGAAAAATATGAGAACATATATATTGGACAATGTGGGAAAATATCGGAATATGTTCTTGTCAACCAAGGGATTTTTGGGTTTTCTGAATTTCAGACCAGGCATGGCTACAATGCCACGAGGTATTGTCATAGCGAACATGCGTGTCCAATCCCCTGTTTGGGGGGGTCCATGTTCGGTTTTAGGAGATTGATGGCCCAGGATCTGGGGCCCAGGCCATGGCAAGCCTTGGCCTGTTGATCCCCAAGGAAATTGAAGCTGGAAGCCCCTCAAATGGACTGGAAGAACGATCTTCGTTTGGACATGGCAGTTTTAGGCTTCAAGTGGTTTGCGCACTTGCCACTTGCAGACGAACCCAACACATGTTCAAACAATCAACACTGATCACAGCTGTTTCACCCACGAATTGATGGCCCAAAATCTGCAGGAGTTGATGTGGTGAATCACAATGGCATCCGCAGCCGCTCCCTGCGAGCAGCCCATGCCTTTGGAAAGGGTGACGTTCTTCTGTCAAATGCGCCTGAGCACGTCATTCGAGCAGCAGATGTTCATGGCAGGCGCGGATGATGAAAATATATGAAAAGTGAGCTTTCCTTGGCCCGGCCAAGCTTGGGAAATGGCAGGTGAATCCCTTGTGTTTGCCATGGCTATATGCTACACAGTTAATGGATGGGCTATCATGGGTTACGTTGTGGGATATCTCATGGCTGAAAGATTAATCAAGAAGCCTGGACTGGTACGTGCCGAGGAGATTCGATGGCTGCCAGGATGATGCCTGTAAGCTGGCGCTGTACATTGCCGAAACACGGGCCGCAGGGCTCAAAGAAGCAAGCGGCAGCTATTGGCAGTGCCCAAGCATTGCACATGGGCCGGGATGCGGGATGGGATATGGCAGGGGATGTGGATGCTTGGTATGCGGTATGCCTTTTCATATAGGGGGCAGTGCCAGTTGAGGGCTTTGGCATTTCACGGTTCGTATTTTGCACAAGTCTCTTGGATGTGGTTCTTGAATGTTTTTGAATGTTTTTGAAACTGGACCTGGAATCGCCTGAACCAAGTAGTTCTTGCCAACTTGTCATGCATTTGGGATTGAACCATTGGAAAATTGATCCATCATCCATGGAAGGTTGCTTGTCCGTGTGAGGATTTCCTGAAATGGGAGACCCAAACATCATCCAAGAATGGTCGAGTGTGTGTGTGTGGTTGATACAGTACTGTACTATGTAAAGAAACAAATATGGTAAAGCAGAGGTTTTGCGCCACCCCAAGTATCAGAAACACCTTGAAACACCCGTATGATGAACATGATCAACCCAAGACATGTTTTTGGTGATTTGATGTGACATCTATCTATTCCCAGACTTGGATGATGGGCCAATTTGTGGCAAAACCACTATATTCATATCATAGTATCTGGGGTTAGAACCATGGCTTCCTGCAAATGTCTCCTTAAACCGATCCACAGACATATAATCTCGGACCATTTCCGTTTCTGTTGTGAATGATGTAAATTAGTGAATGCCCCCAATTTTATTGGTGAACCTGCCCTCACACTTCTGGCCATTTTGTTGGCCTGGTGGCCACAGGAAAGCCCTCGAGACCTTTCCGGAGTTCAGCGACTTCGAAGCTCTTGGTGTGCCACTGGCGGCGAGCGAGAAGGCTCTTGCCACGTTGAGTCAGGCGGGGATGTCAGCGCGTGGCAAAGGGCCTATTGAGGGCATATTGAGGGGTTTGGTATAAGCACCCTGTCCATCATCTCCATCCCTATCCCTATAGCCCTATGGATCCAAGTTGATCCCAGTACCTCCTTTCAAAGTGTTTGGGGTACGGTTTGACATGATGTGGGGGGTTAAGTAGGTGTTTGGATCCATATGAATGTAACTCGAATCCAAATGCTTGGTAAATGGGATGCTTTTGTTTGTTGGGTTTATCACATTACATACCCTCTGGAATCCCATTGGTAATTTCACAGTGCACTTTTGTAATCTTTTGTAAATGGGCCATAGCTGTGGTAAATTTCCAGAGGGCAAGGCTACTATTTAATAGGGGCATGAATACAGGGAATTGTAACCCTCCCCTTTGTTGAATCAGATAATAACTATATATAATATATATATAGTTTATATATATATATATTGTTAAGGGCTATTAACCGCCAATCATATTCCAATGATATTCCCATGCAATCACCTCATAGGGTCTTCTTACATCACTAAGGCCACTAAGGATTTCCTCAGAATATAATGGGAATATAATGGGATGTAGAACCACCCCATATTGTTGGGGGGGCACCCTTCACCTGTCACATGAATAGAATTATGTTTGGTTATACCAACATATAGCAAGGCCCAGAAAGATAGAACAGGTGTGGTTCAGTCCACTCAATTTTAGCTCACGGCGCGACGTCACTGTGAATGAAGGACCAGCATAGGCTGGCTGATTGTTTCCTGTTGGAGGCTCTACTGTATTGCGCCATATTGTTTAATCGTTGCTTCTATGGCTTGCGGGTTTTGGTTGCTCTCCCCTGGTGTTTGGTACTCATAGGCCGCCACCAATCCGGTTGGACCATGGTTGCCGGTGATTGCAGAGGTCCCAGAATTTCAAACTTTGGTGCCCTTCATCCAGAAAACACGTGGTACCATGCTGTCCGCTGTGGATGTGTACAACCGCCCCGTGGTTGCAGCGCCGGAGTGAGATGTTTCGGAACATTTCGGAACCAAGCTTTCACAAGACATGACAGGCATGGGCCCGGCATACGGCTACAGCTCTGCAGGAAACGGAACCCATATGACAAATTGTGAAATGTATGGGAAGCATTGGGAAACCATGGGAAGCCCAGGGGGCATTGAATATTATGAATGATATTATGAGGTGAGCAAACCAGCATTATGTTCACTGAAACCGGTTGAAACATGGCATCTCTTGCGGCTTGACACTTCAACATCTGAGGCAGTGCAGAACCGCATCCAGCTCTTAGTTTCTCAGAAGCCTTGTGGGGTCGCTTGGTTGTTGAAACCTATGCCTTTGCAAACACGGCATGCGGCCTCCACCTTGCACCACTGGCGAGTTGGGTGAACCATAGCCTGCAGCCCAACGTGACCCGGTGGCAGGGGCTTCGAGGGGGTGCATGGACAAGGTGCTACGTTGGTAAGGTTTTTTTTGAGTAGGAGTTGATTGGAGTTCTGGAGGTATCATGGTTAAAGATCTCAAACCCCAGGATTTGTTGATGGGTTGGGGGGTATGTACTGTAACATACTTGTAACTATGTCACTATGTTAATTTTCAGAACATATTTTTTCTGAGTCATTACCGCAGTATTTTCAGTATGGCCAATGAAATGAACCATTTGAGTCGCAACTTGGACATTACTAGCTGGGTATGAGACACGGTTGGAACCCTTCAGGATGGATGGTTGCCCAAAACATCCCAAAACTGTGCGATCAGGATCCAATCACCCATTCAATTCTGATGTCAAAGTCCAATCAGGATGGGTTTCTGTTAGCGTTTTGGGACAACAGCCGCTCCGCAGAAGACATAACTTCCAGTGCTAGGTAAGCTACAACTGTGATGTCCGTGGTATCTTGGCTGGATACAGGTTGTTCGGTCCATGTTCCTTTACCGATTGGCGCATACTGGCGGGTTCACTATGGCCTACCGCACCTACAGAAGCACGAACTGTTCTAATTTCAGGGTTCCTCCTGTGCAAAAAACATATGAGTGACCGACTCCGACAAAATTTGTGGAAGACTAAAGTAGTAGGGAGTGGACTTGGGATGTTCAAATGTGGGCAATCGATTCATGAATTGGATATGGCAAATGCACATTTCAAGTGCACGGGTCAAGGACTAGATGACTAGCTGCGCTGGTCCAGACAAAGAATTGGTCCCCACATCACTCTCGCTTGCCTCTCTATCATTGTGATCCTACATTTTGGGGACCGATTTTCCTTAGAATCTACATTCTGATCATTCTGAATCATTCTGACCAAAGATCATCATTGTTTTAATTGAGGAAACTTGAGATTTTCGTGTTGAGTTTGGTGCTTTCAGCAATATGTTTGCAATAGTTCAACTATATTTAAGCTATATGTTAGCCATATTTTTGCCATATTTCAGCTACAGTGTATTTTCCCAATATATCCGCCATGTTGGCATCATATCATATCATATCATATCATATCCATGTTTTCCCCAACTGCAAGGTGTGACCGTCTCCGCCTTGCAGCCTTTGGCTCCACACAGCGAGCTGCAGGCGGACGAAATCATGGGATTGAATGGGATTTTGTTCGCACATATTAATCATATATCAATGTTGATGTGGAGTATTGGGATGATATGTTCATTCATTCATTCATTCATTCATTCATTCATTCATTCATTCATTCATTCATTCATTCATTCATTCATTCATTCATTCATTCATTCATTCATTCATTCATTATTTAAGATGTTAATGCTATCTTAAATGTGATTTTTTTTATAGAATATTTTATAATATAGTATTGTATAATGGGGTGTGATGGATCTGTGAGCAATCATGTGATATTTGGGCGGCTAAATGTGCAGAGAAATGCCAATGAATTGTTTTTTTTTTTGTGTGTGTGTGTGCATGTGTGTGTGTACGTGTGTACCACCAATGCATTGGGTTTCTTGATGTAACAAGACAAGTTATGTCAAAACATAGGGCTTTGGGGTATATGTGCAAGTTCACATGCGCGTTTCGCTAGACATGTGGCATACTCTGGGTGAATTGCAAACGATCTTACCGCGATGCCGTCAATGGGAATTTCAGGATCCTAAAATGGAGGTACTGTACCATATAAGGCCATATTTTGGGGGTATATCCCCTTACATAGGCCTTACATAGGCCTTATATATGGTAGGTACCTCCAATTTAGGCTCCTGAAATGGCCATTGAACCGGAGGGTGATGTATATAAGGTCAACCAACCTGGCAACCAAAAATGCAATGTTTTCTGAACATCAGCGACATTTTAGTGTGGCGTTTTCCACTGCCAGGGTTGATTCTCTGAGGCATGTCCCAAAATATCATGGCATGTCCCTCACTTTGTGACTTTTAGAATCCACCGAAGCGTAATCGCATATTTGAAGATGTTTCTTCATTCTTCCGATCCTTTTGCTAAAACAATCCCGAAACTTTCCATGATGTTTCATGGGTGACGCCTGTCACAAGGCGTCGTTCATGGGCATGATGACCTAGAACAAGGGTACTCAAGCAACAAGAAGGCAATTTATTTGTTCATGTAATCTAATGGGTATATGAACCTGACATTCATCATAGTGTTCTCCCCGTTTTGCACGCTGTTCGGTGCAGCTGCAGGCCACGTACAACAAGTTGGGCCCTTTGGCCAACTTTGCCAAATATGGTGTCATTGATGCCTGGTGAAAGCTTTTGCGCATCACAGTAAGCAAAGGTCGTATGGCTTGACCACGTTTGCCCCCCAGATCCCCCCAGATAGCACTCGAATTCGCAGCACTTTTTCCAATGGCACTGGGCTGAGGAAGACGCCGGCTCAACAAAGCCTTTGAGCCCTTCCAGTTGCACACGCCTGCAGCTTAGCCTCTTGGCATCGGCACTGTGAGAAAACACCAACAGCGGCAGAAATCCAAAGACTATTGAATATGGTGCTGATTTTGACCTGGCAGCTGTTGATCATTTTCTTTCGGCCAAGTTGGATCACAAAGCTTGGTTCTGCCAATGCTCGAGCATCAGATCCCGTTCGCTTTCTGGCTTCATTCACATGGACCAAGTTACGAATACCGGGCACATGTTTTTTGGCTGTTTCTATGATGCCTCTGGCAGGTTTCATCCCTCTTGAACTTTTTTCCGTTGATAAGGCAATCGGCAAGTATTCCTATACACTATACACTTGTAACCCTGGTTAGTATTTCCACTACAAAAGGGCGAGCATGTCCTTTGCACAATCTGCTTCTTTCTGACAGACACTAGGTCCTAAGAATGTTGTCTCAGATCATGATCATTATTATAGTAAGTAGCAGGGCTGGTAGCCACATGGCAGCATTTTGCAGTTCGAAGAGTCTTCCCCATGAATTGTGCCCCAGCACACCTTCACCCCCTATGGGGATCATTGTACGTATTTCTTCATATACATTTCCACACATAGACATGCCATGATGCCATGCATATATTTAATACGACTACATATTTGTAATGTTTGGATTCGTTTTTAGGATGAGGCCTGTGCCGGCTTGAGTGGTGAACGATTTTCCGACAGTTTGGTTGTCGCGGTATTTTTCGGGGTGATGCTCTTCCATTTCTCACGCCCACCCCTTCACAACCAACCTAAAAATGAAGAAAGTTCATCAAATAGAGAGAGAGAGACACTTGCTTCAGTGGAGTGGTATTGACCTATGAGGAACGGATGGGGGCGGATGAATGTTGGGTTGACTCCGAGCAAGTACCTTGATTTGATGGTATCCCTGTGATCCTCCTGTTTATATATTGTCCTTGTTTGTTTCGCCCAGGTCCGCAAGCCAAAGAACCGCTCCTGCGAGCCGCATCTTGGTGGTAACATGTGACAACAAACCCTGAAACTTTGAAGCCAGCTGGTGAAAACAGAAGCTTACTTTCCTCAAAATTAACACACGTATAGCCTGCCAATTGGAAGACGGAAGGCTTTACTGTAGTGTTTCTCCTGGTCAACCAATGATCAAGCACCCTTCCCTCGAGGCGAGCAAGTTGGCATCCATCCATTGCCAGGGCTCCGCGCCGGACTCGCTGAGTTTGCCGCCTGCGGCCCAGCCACTTCCTGCCCTAAAACCAACGCCTGCGAATCCGCCAGCTGCCGAAGGGCTCCTCAACGTTGCAGCTGGAGGGGTGAAGAAACAGTGGTTATATTGGTCACTATTGATCATGATTGGTCATTGTTGGTCTATAGATCACCCGACATCTTATGACAGGCTGTAATGTGTTCAAATTTACCAGAGTGAACATTGCCAAACGCCGAATCCACAACCTGCACGTGGCTGAATTTTGGCTCCATTGCCGTTCAGGCGTTCAGGTTTCTAAATGGGTTTTCAAGTGGACAGACCATCCATCCTGAGGCGGACATCGAATTTTGGTGGCTTCGTACCAGCTGAAGAACTTACAAAAGGATTCTTAATACAAGGCAACGCAGTTACATAGACCCGTATGCCAATTTTTTTCACCTCAGGAGGCCCCCTGAAGACCAGGGTTGACCTGGGCCTCAGGCTACAGTGGGGCAGCCTTCCACTTCAACCCATGACCCAGATTCCAGGAATCTCCAACTTGCTGCTTGGCACATGAAACGAAGAGTGTTGGTCATGATGTTTTCGAAGGGTCACGCAAGTTTTCCAATATGATGCGCCTAAATAAGAATCCTAGTCCTAACAATCTTAAAAACCACCCAAAAGTGGGATTTTTGTCCTTGAAGAGATCGCATTGATCCAACTTTCCCTGGCCAGGCTTTATGGCCCGCGGACCTACATCCCCTTGTCCCCAAGCGCCTGGGATGCTACGCTGCCAATGATGTTCCCGACGACTGCCCACATGCCGCAGCTGGACCTGGTGGTCACTGGGCGCTTTGAAGTGTTGATTGGGGTGGGAGGACCATTGTGCTACCCTCCAGTAAACTAACATAGCCACGGTAATTGGCTTTACCTGCTGAAATGATCTAAAATTGTGTTTTTTCCCCAGAGCTATGTTAGTTTACTGGAGGGTAGGACATCCCCCAATTGCCAGCAAACTATTTTTGTTTTGGAGATTTGCCGGCAGAGGCAAGCTGAACCCCTTTCTTTTAAACAAGATCATGTCAGAGAAGCGCGTAGCAACTCTTTGACCTGCTTGATAGGTCAATTCAAAAAAGGATTCAAAAAAGGATCTCGATTGAAATTGTCTAGAGACTCGGTTGGTGGTTCATGTTGATCAAGATCGTGCGAACAACAACCACTTGTTCTTGCTTTGTCAGGATGTTAAACCGACGTGTTCCTGGTTGAATTGCCGTGTTTGTTGATGAAAGCATCTCAACCCCCCTGTTTGTTTCTTGGAATCGCAGTTTGTTTTGCAGCGGGTTGAACTCCACCATGGCACGTGGCACACTGAGGTGCTGGCAGGCTCGCCATGGCGGAGCGCTGCGAGCGCTACGACGTCCAGGAGAGCAGTGCTGAAAAATGTCATGGCAATGGGGTAATAGTGGAATATTACTGGGTGAATTAGTCAATGGAATATGAATGGGATGATGATTTTATTTACCCTCTGGTAATTTAAGATAGCAAACTGACAAATTACCATTTTTAATAGGTAATGGATCATAAACCATCGAACTAAATGGGCCATGTTCGTCCATTTTTCATAGCTATGTTAAAGAACCAATGTGTAGAGCGCAGATATATGGTTATACATCTATCATGATGTCATATGGATTGTCCTTCAACGGGGGTACCCCCAGCAATCCGAAATGACATGTCTCTTGGCGGGAAACGCCGTCTTGGCGGATTTTGAAGTGGGAATGTCTTTGAACTTTGGGTACACCTTGGTGGATGGATTCTGGCCACATGCTCAGGCTGGTTGTGAAGCTGTTGTTTGATTTATATAAATTGGCACACACATGTCAACAGCATGGATTGCACTAATTAGAAGTGAAGCTTCTGGGAGTGGATGAACCAACCCCCAAGCTTGCTGTATGTGACATTTGCCATTCTAATTCAAGAAACTCTTGGATTTTCTTGTCCTCCAGAGCCCTCGCAAAACACTTGGACATGATGTTGTCATTTGCTTGCTCGGCCTTTTTGTTGAGGCGCAAACTTCGGTAAATTTGGAGAAACCCGGGTGGATGGTGAATGGGTTGGTCACTGGAGGTGATCCTCAATGATGCCTTGCTTCAAACTGTCCTTCTTGCCGTGTTAACTCGTGTAAGCGACAGCATTCTATGTGGAAAAGATCCCAAGTGAAGTTCACATCGCATCTGTGGGCCCACCAGCTTACTGTAATATGATAAAATGACCCATATCCAGCTGACCTTGGATTGGTGAAGCCGCTTCAGCCAGGAGCAGAGATGCCAGCTTTCTCACGTGAAAAGCGAGCAAAATTCGTGCGGAGTGCTTCCTGCAGGAACATCAAAGAGCTGCAAGACATGAATATATGATTTTGATATAGCATAATATAGCTGTTTACTGAGTAGAAATACAATTTTCTACGAAGTACTCATACGGGTGAGCTGACCGTGCTGATTGATCGCTGTTCGGGTCGAAGATGTTTTTGTTTTCATCTAAAACCTCATGGTGACATCGCCCCTCTGAGATCCACCGACTTGGATTCCACCCCCAACAGATGACGAGAAAGGGGGACCGGGTCTGAGTCGGTCAGCTACACAGTGCTGACAGGTAGAAACACCCGACAAGCCTCGAGAATCAAGACAGCCTACTTTGATGTGCAGGTTCCCTTGAAAGTGGCTGGTGTCCAGAGTCTTTCTGGGAAGCTTCCTTGAGCGTTTGCATGCACTTGTGGTATTTTGTCATTGTCTTGTGATCGCTTGTGCCATTCTGATCAGTTTTTGAATGAATTTCAGTGGTGCAATTTCTATGCGTATCCCATGTGGAAAGAGGCCTCTTAAAACATCTACTATTTTCGGTTCCATGCTGAAGAATGTCCAGGGCCAAATTCAAATTCTGACCAGCAAATTCGTTTTCCTGTGCAATATGATTGATGTTTGGTTTAGAATTCCCAAATGCATTTCAAAACAGTTCAATTGTGCATTTCAACACAGTTCACTTATGTTTTATATTTGTTTTATTTTGTTTTTTAAGAACATGTCATGAACTTTGGACCCTCGAATCACCAACTTTTTTTTGTTTTCTTATGTAGTGAATAACTGATTAAAATGGAGCATCTTCATTGACCTTCCAGCAAACAAATGCCGGTATGTGTTTAATAAGTTAGTTTGGGAAAATCACTCCAAGCAATGGCAATTACTTCACATATGTATATAAGTATATATATTTTACACACACACATATATATATATATATATATGCATATACATATTATACACATAAATAAATAAACAAATAAATAAATAAATATATATATATATATATTATACATCTCATCATATATCAATTCCTGATGACAAATCATGATAAATCCACCACCAGGCGGACCCGGCAGGGCACCCCAGGGCACCCCAGGGCACCCCAGGGCACCCCAGGGCACCCCAGGGCACCCCAGGGCACCCCAGGGCACCCCAGGGCACAGGTCGAAACCTATGATTCTGTTTTTTTAACAGAATTATGGAAGATCAGCATTTCGAATCCTTAGGTATATCATCTAGACATGGGCCATTTTCCATCTCTGCGTTGAAGTACCAGAGGATATATTAAGGGGGAAAGAACATCCATTTGCCAGCTATCTTAGGGTTCAGCACAGTGCCAGGGTCTTGACTCATATCCATTCCTGCCATATGTGATCACATGTGTAGATAAATGTGTAAGTGCAGCTGAGCACAGTTGAACTGATTTTGTTTATTGCCCGGGAATCAGGCGTCAAAGGTACATGGAACTCTCCCGCGCATAGTTTGCAGAACCTGCATAGTGTACTGAAGTTCCAGTGGATTGGAGGTCTGAAGGTCAACTAATGCTGTTTCCAGTGCCCCCCAAGTGCCCCTGGGGTTCCCTTTTAAAACGCGCTGCAATTGAAAACGTCTTAGGACGACGATGAAGATGAAGGCCTTGGCTTTTTTGGGATGGGGCATGGCTTGCTCCGCTCCTGCGATTCATGGTTCAAATGTGTATAATGATAATGATAATACAACAATACAGAAACAAACGTTAGGAAAACATACATAAATTAGCTTCATGTCGTGTGTGTGTGTGATGGCAACATATACATATGCAGCATATACATGCATATACATATGCTATATATTTACAAACGTATATGGTATGGCCATGACTACAAAAATCATAGACTCTGTATATAATGATATATATACAGTATATACACATGATATTGTTTTTACTGTAATCTCCCAAACTCCAGTTTTGAGGGCTTCTAAAACTTGGAGGATGTACTCTATTTGGTTGGCGGTTTCAATCGATGTACGGTTTGTTCATGTTTATTCCATCCCTAGCTGGGAGGGTCCTGAGTGAGTAACTGCATACTTGGGACTAGTTAAAATCGCAAGGTAGCAAATTTATGTTACCCATGGTTCAAAGATTCACGGCCCAACGGCCCGGGAAGTCCCCAGGTGCGCCCGCGGCCGCCCGGCCAGGCACTGAAGAGGCGGAAGAGACGAGCCAGGCATGGCCGAAGAAGTTGAAGGGGCGACTGGGCTGAAAAAATCCCAGGCCAACCTGGGCAAGCTGCCATAAACCTACCATGACTGGGGAGATTTGGGTGCTATTTTGAGGTTTACCACATTGGTATCAAGCCATCCATGTCTACATTTCTAAACAGAAGGGGACACCCTGGGAGTGCGGTTTTTCATTGCATTCTGCAACCACTGACACTGCACATGTGCCATGGTTTTGTCACTGCTTTGCAACCATTGACAATTTCTGCTTGTTTTTTCTGCAATGGCTAAACAAAAACAAAATCCAAAAAAAACAAGAAACCAAAAACACAAAAAAACAACAACATGACAAGACCCAACTCTCTGCCACTACTCCCCCCATTGGGGTGTGCAATCTTGTTTCTTTATTTTAAATTATTATTTTTGGTCTCTTGGTTTTTTGGTTTCTTGTTTTCTGGTTCGTTGTTGGTTTTTGAAGGGCTAAGGACCTAGACCTAACTCTTTGCCATTTCTCCCACTTTAGGGGTTGCAAACTTGCTTTTGGATGATTTTATTATTTGCTTTGGGCCTGTGGTTCCATTAGAAAACAATGTAAAAAAACTATGGCAAAATGCAGGTCTCACTGGAGGAAGCTTGGGGGGCTTGGGACACAAATTAGGCAATTTTGTTTGTTTATGTAATCTTTCAAAAACGGTGTTGAACAAATGCAAAAACATAGGCAGCCAATGAATGTGTAGAACTGATTTTGATATTGACATTCTTGGCTCAAACCCTTGGATTAGCACGTGTTCAAACAGTTTGAACGATTCCCTTGAAAAGGCATGAGGCATCTCTTTGAAGTGAGTGCTTCCTTCAACAAGTGCATTTCTTTTATAACATGGTAGAGCTCGGTAGAGCATCCGATTGAAGTAGGTCATGTCTTAGTCTACTTCTATGTCAAAAAAGAACCTTCTTGCGCATGCAATGCCCTTTTCACAATATATATATTTTCTTAAATGAAGAACACATGGTACATGTAAGCACGCAAGATATGTGTTTCACAATTGCACATCATTTTTCTGAATGCATAATGTGATATTCTTCCAAGACAACGAACCATATTTTGGGAAGAACACCCTTTGGTGTAGGCAGCTCCCCTCTTGAAAAATATTGCAATTTGAAAAATGTGCATCTTTCAATCTTAAGACAATCAAACATTGTTTGAACATACGGTAGTGCTCACAGTTTCAAACATATTGCACTTTTGAAAGGGTTGCGCTATGTCAATAATACTGCATATATCATGCAGAAATATTGACTTTTCTAAAAGGGGTACTGCTCCTTTGAAAGGAGGGTTAGACATCTGGAAATGCACACTGCACTCCTTCAAAGGGCATGGTGCAACTTTTCAAGGAATACTTCATATTTTGTTTGGATATTGCCCCTGCAAAAAACACACTGCATTGCCCCAAAGGAAGATTACTCTTATTCAGAAGGATATGTTTGTTTTGAATACTGCATTTGTTGGCAGGTATGGGGATGCTGTAATTATGTTGAAGTCATCTAGCATATTCTGCAGAAATTGTGTTTTGTTGAAGGGACAATGTAGTAGCATTTATTTAAGGTAGAGTGAACACCTGGACACTTCTTCAAGTAATACATGCTCTCTAGTGGACATGAACACAGCTTCATCTGTAGCTTAAGCTTTAATGTGATTACAGTTTTGAAAAACACAATTAAAAAAAGTGCACTCCCACAGCGTCCTGCTCTCTTTCTAAATATGGTTTCGTTTCAACCTTACATCTGGGATGATTAGGGATGGCTTTGATGGCACTCCAACACGGCCATAGTTCAGTATCCAGCTGCTGGTTTTATGTTTGGCTCTTGGCTAGCACCCCAATCATCTACAAACTATGTTGATTCTGAGAATGTCATTTGTCATCAATGCCGCTTTTTTGCACTCTGTTCTGGTATGACTTCGATTGAATTGGTTTACCCTCAATTCCGACATATTTTCACACACGCTCCATCAACAAAATAGAACTTTTGACAGTAGTACTTCCACTTTGGGAAAACAATTGTTCAAATTTGCGGTTTAAATCTTGTGATATCTCATCATTTCTTAGTAGTGATTGACACCGATCATGATTATATGATTATGATATCCCATATCACCACATCAACTGTGCGTGGTGAAAAACCATATCACAGCAATGTTTTTGTAAGATGTGTGCGAAATCCTGCAGCAGTTGACAAATGGTTTATCCCACTATTTGGGGGCGGTTCAACCTGTTTCAATCATCCTTTGTGGTGAATTTCGCACCCCACAGGACTTCGACTGAGGTCCCACACGGTGTCCTTGGGCTCCGTAAATTCGGGCCTTCAAGTGGAGGAGGAGCTGCTCTGGTCCAGCGGCATGCAGCGGCCCAATATTTTGTTCTATATAAATAATTATATAATTATATATATATATATTGTATACCACTTATACATGTTTATAGCAGAATAGTACCCAATCAACAAAAGTAATTCATTGCTATTTGATGTTTATACCTTTTTGGTGGGTGCTTGCAAGTTCCCTTCTAATAGGATGTGTTGAATCCCTGGAATGATGGTCGCCATTGGCCAATAGTTTGGCATGAGCGGAAACCGCTGCAAAAAAGGATGATGGTCTACCAATGATGGCTGGCTGACGGATTGTCAGGAGGAACCTCAAGTGCAGATCTTGGGCCCCGGCTGGCGCAAATTGCGTGCCAAGTATGGCCCGGGCAGCCAATGGCTCACGGGCTGGATTTGCTGTGCTGCGTACCATGGATATTTCTGGCAAGACCTTAGATGTCTAGTCTACTGTAGATGGGATTGGCTGAAAATGGGGTCATTACCCCAAAAGTCTATTGGATTATCGGATTACCAATGATTAGCATCATCTTCCCACTTAAGAGTATATCATTTTTTGGGGTGGGCCGCATGGTGTACCCAGCGGCCAAGTTCCCTTAAACGCTTCGGGCCGCTTTCGAGGCGGGGCCGCAGTGATGGACCAATTGCTCCAACAAGTGCGGGCCAGCAACACACAGCAGCTCTATGACGACGATTGGTCGGGGCCCCCGGCCCTGGAATCATCTGGAATCCCTGGAATCCCTGCCATAGCACATGGGTGAATGGGAGGTGAATATCTGGATATAGCATGATATAACATGTTTGCTGGGAGGATCATTCCATGAATTGTAACAACTAAATTAGGTTTGAATTGGATCAGCCTATTTAGGTGACATGATTAACGGTTCCAGAATTTAATTGAGTAAATTATATATTGTTTGATACATTGAGTAAACTTAGAAAGTCTTTCTTGAGTTATTTGAAGCGATTGTCACCCGCAATGATTGGCTCCTGCTGCTCACGCATGGGTCCCCACCCTCCCAATCAACTCCTACAACTCCTAGTGTTGGATGGTGCGAATAAATGCTTGCCGGGTAGCGAGCAGCCAGTTGGAACAATTACGTTGCAGAGTGCCTTTAACGTATCTAGAATTGGGTATACATTCACTCCGGCTTGTATGTTCTTAGATCAATTTTGCTGGTTGGATCACTTCGCAAACCTTTGAGAGAGATTACTGCTACATCTTCGAAAATGTGTAGATCCCATGAATCCAGCCACAGATGATTTGAGACAAAACATCATCCCATCATTCCTTTCCATGTTCATTATATAATGTTTATTGGACATCTATTAGACATCCATAGATGTCCAGCGAGTTTTGGTCTATCCCTTTTTTTCTACCGCCTTGCCGTGGCAAGTGGTTGGAAAATCCTGCAGGACTGCGGCAATGGCCAGCTCTAGCGGTGGACGTCCAACCCCCCCACTGCTGGATGTGGTGAAAGTTTTGCGATTCAGACGCGAAATCCATCGAAGAACTTCAGACATGTATAGAATTGTGGGGTTTACGCAGGGAAATGCATTCATGCAAATGGATGCACATGGTATGATGATGTATGATGGTATAACTTATGGTAGCAATGGTTTGAACCACCCATTTCTGGAAAGCTTGTGCGGATGGCTTATTGTTGGGAGAGAGAGAGAGAGTTAGAGTTGCAGTGACCATAAACCAAGGAAGATCAAGGACGTTTTTTTTTTTTCGGGGGGTACAATTGAAATCAATTGACTCATAGGCACATAGATTTTGTCCTCCAACACAAGCAATCAGCAGTTTATTGTGTGTTGTTTTTAAATGTCATCACGAGCAGTTGTTGCATCATTCCTCCAACATTCACTTTCAATTATATAGTATATATAGTAATTAACAATCCCTTTGCATCCCCAATCTTGGGGGTTACTACCCATTACTAACAAGCCCATTAAGAATACCCAGTCAACACTTGTATGATTGATGGCACTCACCATTTTGTCGGTCTCACCACAGCAGCTGAGGCAAAGGTGTCCTTGATGTCACCCTGAATGCTGATTATAGTGATTGTCATGATTGTTTTGTGTAGTCCTTGATGGTTCTGCATGGTTACTATTGTGATGTTGATGGTGGTTGTGACAATATTAATGCACAGAAATCTTGGCTGACTTCAATGCGCGTCAGCTTTCTCAGCAGTTTTTGTCCCAGGCCATCCACGCGATTCGTATGTGAACCTACATTCTCAAAAAAAAATATCCATTTATGTAATGTTCATAGACAGATATGATGTGCCATACACGGACTGTGTGGGTATTGTTCTCCTAATGTTGTATGTTTTCGATCATGGTTTAGATACATGCATCCAGTCAAAGCGCAGTCAATGTGCCCTGTGGCCCCAGCAGAAACCACCAATGTGGTGAAGCCAACAAAAGCAATGTGCCTTCAGGGCGTTTACCGGGAATGACCAAGCCTGCGGCAGAAAGCCTGAAATGTTGACCACAAAAGATCAGCACACGCTGCTTTCAAGAGGTTTCCAGGCTGCTCCGTGTCCATCATGGAGCCATGGCCAGGCGGGTCAGCCTCCAGATATTTGCAAGATTTTCTCAGGTTCCCCCAACTTGCTTGCATTCCCCCAACTTGCTTGCATTAATCCCTTCCTCCTAATACTAAACGTCCCCCTAATACTAAAAACAGGCATCCATCTCCAATTTCCGAAAATTTCAGTTTGGCCAATTTGACTTTTAATTGATCCCCTTTAAAAAACAATTTAAAAATCAACCTACCATTTGTGGGTTCTCCCCCCTAATACTAAAAACTAGTTCACCCCGGGGTGTTTAGTATTAGGGGGGCCTAGTCCCAATCCCTCACTCCAAGCTGCCTAGCTACTCTAGCAATTAGGGGTAAGCTTCTAACTGCCATTTTTGGCAATATTTTAATTGCGCTATATAAGGAAATTTAATTGATTTTGAGATCGGAAAAAAATAGTTTTTAGTATTAAGGGTTTTAATTTAGTATTAGGGGTAAGCTTCGAACTGCCATTTTTGGCAATATTTTAATTGCGTTATATAAAGAAATTTAATTGATTTTGAGATCGGAAAAAATAGTTTTTAGTATTAAGGGTTTTAATTTAGTATTAGGGGTAAGCTTCGAACTGCATTTTTGGCAATATTTTAATTGCGTTATATAAGGAAATTTAATTGATTTTGAGATCGGAAAAAATAGTTTTTAGTATTAAGGGTTTTAATTTAGTATTAGGGGTAAGCTTCGAACTACCATTTTTGGCAATATTTTAATTGCGTTATATAAGGAAATTTAATTGATTTTGAGATCGGAAAAAATAGTTTTTAGTATTAAGGGTTTTAATTTAGTATTAGGGGTAAGCTTCGAACTGCCATTTTTGGCAATATTTTGGTTCCCTAATAATAAATACCCCCCTAATACTAAAAACTACTTGCCGTGTTTTGTATTAGGGGGGGGGGGGTTTAGTATTAGGAGGAAGGGATTATTGTAAGGAAAAAAGGCACCTGTTTTCCCCAGTGTTCTCCTTCATGTGGAGACGCAGAAACCCAGCTGACAGGCACCGGCCAAAAGCCCTATGTCCTTATCGAACCTTGGTGGGGGTCCTTTTGCTCTGCATTCTTGCGGCTCGATTCAAGGGATGCTCTGGCGGGATGTAGGGTTTGGACTGCCACCAGTTGGTGCATCCGGAAAGATGAGAGGATCCATGAAAAAGTGTTGGCATGCTTGGTATGTTCGGTATGTGGGCGAGTAATTAGCTCATGAGCAAAAAACAAACCTCCAGAATCTTCAGCTCAAAAAGGAAGCAAAGACCAAGTTAGGGTCGGCTCACAAGTGGAGACTTGGATGCGAAGGACGGATATGAGGATGATGTCTATGTATGTTTATGTGCGTTTTTTCTCCCCCTCCAAGTTCCACAGTTCCACAGATGCACATGACTCAACATCATCGACGTGAAGCCATGGTTTCAACCTTTAGCCCAATGGCTCAAGAAGCCTTTTTTTCACTGTCTCCAAGAGGATTCTTCACAGAGCTGGATTCAATGGATTGATTGTCTATTGGAATCCATTGACTTCACAGATATGACATTTATATGACATTTATTCAATGTTCTGTTACTAACAGTGCCATCAATGGAAGAAACTCTGGTCACTGGAAACTCGTCCTGGAGACTCAGGTCGCTTTCTTGCTGGGACGACCCACGCTGACGGCCTCCGTCGCGGAAGTGGTGCCGGCTGTGCCGGCTGTGCCCAGTGGCTTTGCCACTATTTTAGGGAATGTTTTTAGACCAATGACACAATGAGTTTAGGCCACTGTTTTCTCAGGATTTGTTTTTAAATGTTCATTCTTTGTGTGGGTGTTATATTTTGTGAATATATGTGGATATATAAATATATATATATTTATTATATGCCCGCAAACGCACGCACACACTCTCTCACACTCACACTCACACACACACACACCCTTGTAAGACAAAAAAACTATCTAGCGGGTACTGCAAACGAACCCAACAATAAACGTACGCACTAAGCCACAAGTATAAATTGGCATGGCCAATGTTTGTGTAGCGCCTTTGTGTCGCCCCTCAGCAGGGCTGGGACAGACTTGGTCTGAAAAGGCAATAGAGAGCGATAATTGGTGTGTGCCACATTAATTGCGAAAATTGTACAAGTGTAATATATTGCACACATCAAATTACACATCAAAATGACGATACCCTTGGAATTACATGACGATATTGTCTGAAAAAACAACCGGTTTTTCATTGTCCGCCCAGGCCAGGAAAGCAACTCTGACCTCCAATCCACTGCAGCTCCAGAGGCTCTTTCGGTCCAAGCGAGCCTTCGCCGAACCAGGGCTGGGCCAAGCGGAAAAAATGGGAAAGGTGGAGCGAATGTTCATGACTGCATGGTAAATGTATGTAAAAAATGGTAAATGTATGTAAATGTGTTTCTTTTTTTGCCAGTCATGTCAACCCTATAGAATCAACCAGCGTGTATTGATTCAGGATTGATACTACTCTTCACACTTAACAGTGCTGTCCAGAGAAGCGTTCATTCCTTCAGACAGGGCAGAAAGCATGGGACAACTCATTCAACATTTATGGAACTAGCGGGTTTGTCTGAAAATAGGGGGCTCCATTCCAATTCATTGTTATTTTCCCTTGGAATTTTCCATTGTGCTCCATTTTGCAATATATATCGTTCGATTTCCGGCCCCATTTGGAAGGACATTTCCACAACATGACCCTGGCATGGCACATGTACAGTCGCCCCGCAAGGACGACTGTGGAGCCAACACGAGCTCCAGACCGTTCCCAGCTCCTGGCTTTGGGTTTGGACCTTTCCCATTGGGATGGTCATCCCAGAAGTCATCCCACCATTTTGATGTTTTTTATTGGTGTTTTAGTATAAGAACGGTATGAAAATGGTTGGACTCATATGTTTTATATGTGCATGTTTGATATGATTCTGATTTGTTATGTATTTTTTGGTGTTTTACAGAATCATAGAAAGAATATATAATATCGGACCATAAGACTTTTTAGTATAACGGTATATCGTCACTAACTATTTGAAAAAAAAAAACTTCGTCAATGGGACCTCCATTTTTCACCACTCTCTTTTTACAGGGACTGCTGTAGTATATGATGTCAATATACGGGCTCCCTCATGATTGTGGTTCGACCATCCTCCACCACGTTTTGACCATGGCAGATATACTTGAAACATGTGTCATGCGGCAAACCCCGTAATAATGTAGTAAACACCCCTGGTTTGGCTGATAGCGCCTCAACATCGTAACAAACATTTGAAATGGAGATGGGTTATCATTTGGTTTGCTGCGTTAGTTCAACCTGGCACTTTTGGGAATCCTACTGATGGTCCCTTTGCGAACACCCCGCCCATACGGCTTTTCATAGCTTTTCTGCATCCAGAAAAGGAGGATTTGGCCCCGGTGAACCCACGGAAAGTCACCAGTTTTTCCAGGACCTTCCCCTTCCAAGAGTTTTTTGTTGGTAGAAATACATCTGAAATATTTGAAATGTGGCATCCCCAACAATAAACATGTTTTTGTGCGTGCTTGGCCATGAATGAATTGAAGGTTGAAAGGGACTTAAATCGTGTTTTTTCCAATTCATCATTTTAGCAGTGGATTCGGGCATGCTGGTATGGTACACGCCAGATCCAGGCAGTAGGCAGTGGACCGACTCATTTGCCGCGCAATAGCGCCACGTTGCGCCGCCCGAGGTATGGCTTCTACTTGCATGTGCATGGACACCCAGCAGCAGTGATTCATCAAGTGCGAGCCCCTCGGCACAGCTTCTGAGTGCTTGCAATAGCGTGGCTTTGAGGAAACTTCAGGGATTGATCTCCATTCAAAATCATCTGAAACCTGATTAACTGACATTTAACTGATTTTAACTGGCACTTGGCGTGATGTTGATTCAATAGCCAACCTGAGGAAGTGAAAAAGTGGTTTCCTGGCTCACCGTCCCTTCGGCAGCACAAATGTGCACAAATGTGGCCATTCTTTCAGCTTTCTGACACATCACGACACATCACAAATGACCGGCGCACAGGAAGCAAACCTTTGTAAAGGGTTTCTAACTGGCATTTCCTGCCCCTAAATCCAGAAAATGGACGAATATCATGCCATACCCCGGACGCCCTACTACGTACTACTAAGTGGTCTTGTTTTGCTGGGTGGCTGGAATCCTTACATTGCCAGAGAGCTGAGGATTCATGTCATGAGCGACGGCCCCTTGGCTGGATTGGGATATTGGGGAAGTTGAGGCCCCTGAAAGGTGACCAGCCAGTTGTTATTGTTGGGTTGTGACCTTAGGTTCCCCATCAGAGGAGTGGGAAAAAAAGTGACTGAACTGTTACTGAATGTTACTCAGCAGTTTGATGCGCGAGGGCAAGAGCATCAAACAAATCGGTCCTGGGATTAGTTAACTGAGTTAACTGATGAGTAACTGGCTTATAACTTATAACTGAAGAAAGAATGGATTGTAACACATTATAAATTATAACCCACGAAATTGCTTTAAACACTTAACTACTCCCAGGGCCCCCCAGGGACCACCTAAGTAATGGCTTGGTGGCCACCAAGGCAATATGGATTTCGGCGCCCTGTGTGCCCTTGAGAACTGCAGCTTCGTCTTGTGTCCTCCGGCCAATGACCGTTGGCACCCGCATCTTGGCAGCACCACTGCTAAGCTAAGTGGATTAGGTAGGTGATTCTAGGAGGATCGGAATAATTATAACACAAAGATTGGTTGTAAATGTCCTGTTTTAGGGATTTTGAACATCACTTTCGGGCATCTAAATTGGAGATTATTGTAAATCCCCCAATAGTTGGGTGATGTCCAATTAGGACATTTACATACGTTTACCATCATTTACCAACCCTAGTTAACATGTCATAACCCCCGTGAAATTACATGAAATTACCATAGACCTGGGATGTGCTGGCAACAATCTGGCCGCCTGAACTAGCTGTGTCCAGATGGCCCTTTCTTCGGCGACTTTATGATGCAGCGGTGATCCTGCGACTTGGATCGGAACGGCGTGTCACGTTTTTTTGGACACCGTGGGACACCGTGGGACACTGTGGGACACCGTGGGACACCCCGGTGGTTAAACTGAACGCTTTGCTATGTAAAGATCACTATTTTCTTCTATAGGTAATAAACAATGGTAAACACCTATAAATGGACCATGGCTTCCATAGCCATGTGAGACAACCAGAGGGTACTTGATTGAGCAGCATGGACGATTTTGAAACATCAGTGGGGTACGGACGGTATAGGTCAAAGAGTTTAGGTGAGTGGTTGCTATCTGAGGCCGGGATGGTTACCCATCGGATCTGCCATTTTTGGGATACGGAACGCCCATGGCTTGGACTAAAACCGGTAGGGTGTGACTGGCGTGACCTCACCTTCGGGTGACATGGGGCCTCTATAGGGACTTCAGGGCGTAAGCCTGTCATGAATCGATCTCGAAGTTCCGGAAAGGTTCCAACCAACATCTACGGCTTGCCTCATGAAGGTTCATTGTTCGGGGGCCTGTCTCCTCGGTGCAGGAAACCCAACACATCCCAGGGGGACCTCGCAGCTTCAGGAAATCAGAGTTTGTGATCCTCCTGGAACCCGACAACACGTACCTCGCAGCGACTTTCGTGGCGGGACTTGGCCTAGGGCCGGCCTTGTGCCTTTCTGTTAGTTTCTCAAAATTGAGTTACTTGTATTATCATATCTGTTCACTCTATTATAGATTGGATCTATTTGGTATTATTTTGCTGTTTCCACAATGGGCCTCCGGTACTGAAATACGGCAAAAAAGATCCCATAAATCCTTGTTCATCACTGCTTTTCAGATAATTTACCAATATCATCAATAGCCGCTGTCAGGATGGTGCTTCCCCATTGCCACATCGTCAAAATCGCAGCGATTCCGCCAAGGATCCACGGACGAATCAAGGCAACGCCAGAGTTCGATGCTGGTGGGCTCCGAGTGAAGGCAACGGCTGGGTGGAAATCCCAGTAACTCCCATGGTTCAAACACGTTAAAACCCTCATAAATTGATAATCAGAAGTATGGCTTATTTTCAGCCACCCATACGTCAGAAGATTTGGGAGAGAAGAGCCCCTAGCCCAGATACACTTTTTTGATCTTTTTCTGGGAGCACATGGGGGTGCAGGAACGATCCTTTGCGGGAGCAGAGTACGTTGGGACACCCAGAGCGTGTTGGGATTTGGGATTGTCTTTCGGCCGTGAGTTCAGTCTCCTTTTGGTAATGCAGCTATACTTGCAACCCATCAAGTATATATTTGTTGAGATATGCTGGCTTTGTGGTCAAATTGGGCCCTTGCCAAAAGGGATCTAAAGGGCATATGGCGTCACGGCATGCACAGCATATAAATTGTAGAATTGTAGGGATCGTGTATGTTCATTTATGTTCTACAAACCACCCCTGAATCAGACCCAAATTTTGGAGAGATCCCCTACTTCAGATATAAAAAGAGGTTCTTACTTCCTCATGGGTGTTTGTTGATGGGAAATAGCTGGCAGTATAGCTGGCAGGACTTCGAGACTGTTAAAATAGAGGATCCTTTGAATGTGGTAACCGTCAACCCCATTCGTTTGCCATCATTTACCATGATGTTTTGCCAGATATGGTAGCTATTGAGCTACCATACCAAAACAAGGGGTTTATCCGTCGGTTGTTAAAACAAACCGGTTTTGAGGCACGCTTAGATTTGCATAATTTTGGCTCTAATTGTCATACCGCCCAATAACGGTCTTTATTGTTCCATGCTCCGTTGGTTTTACCACATGCCCAATGCTATACCCAAGGCCCAAGACATACCCAAAGAACAAAAATAATCAGAAATCCACACCCAATAAATCCCAATAGTATTTTGATGTATTTTGATGTGTTGATGATTAAAACATATTGAAACAAATAAAATTGCCAAATGCAAAGCCAAAAAAAACCGTTGACCTAGCAGCATTAGGTGCAGAACTTAGCCCGTGAGCGGCAGCCCGGCTTCAAGTGGACCCGGGAGAATCAGGAGGCGGATGGGTCCATGGGGATGACGATGCCCACATGGATGCTGGGTTGTGGACATGTATAGACCATGGTCTGGACATGTTTGGACAGCATTTCACCCTTTTGTTCATGTGCTGTGTATGTGTTTATTTTATTCTTGTTCTCAACTTTAAAGATTGAATATAGATTGAATTCATGGTGATGATGTGGATCTTGGAACGGTTTGGACATAGGTTTTGAATGGTTTTGATTCCACGTTGGTGAAGCCTTTGCAGTTCGGGGAGGCTGGGTTGTGCGGTGGCTCCTACTACCGAAGCGCTGCAGTGCTGGACGCGTTTTCGGATGAGAGTCTTGGTTAAGATTCAATGGCTCACCAGATACATTCTACATGAACCCTGATTTACTAATTAGTAGTTTCAAGGTGTTTTTTATCTTCTCCCAATTTTCAGCACGAATTGTTTGGGATGATATTGGATGATGAACTCGGACTCAGCCCAATTCAATTTACAAAGATGAGTTGTTTTTGGTAGATGGAACTTCTGCAGGCGGAAATGGTGGGACATGCCATACAGTCCTCTGCCGCGTTGCGAGGAACGTGGCCAAGATTGACTGGAATATGCTGGGAGAGAAGTTCAGTAAGGATCCGCGCCGTTGCTGACCGGTGCACAATTTCATCCACCTTGCCTTGAAAGCATAACATGATTCCAGGCCACCAAATGTGTAGCAAGTCATAAGAGGATTCCAATCTTGGGTGGTTATGTCGGTTTGGGCGGCTAGGGTGGTTCTTTTCTGTTTCGGAAGCCTTTTGGCGCACCACCTGTGTTCGATTGGTAGTCTTGAAGACATGTCACCCATCTCAGCTTTGGATTTGCCGGGAGTAGTTTCAAAGCCATTCCCATATCATTCGAATCCCTAGAATTACATGGAAAATGGATTTGATTCCAACCTTGAAAATGGATAATGGACATGGTAAATCTTCTGTTTTGGACAGCTCACTGTGCGATATGTTTGGATAATTGCAAGCTTGTGTCGCTGATGGCCGACTTGCTATAGAGGATGAGGATGATGATGAGGATGATGATGATGATGATGAGGATGAGGATGAGGATGATGATGATTATGATGATGGTGGTGGTGATGCTGATGATGATGATGATGATGGTGATGATGCTGATGCTGATGCTGATGCTGATGGTGGGAAACCATCAAAAAAGGTCTGCAGTTCAAGTCGTATATCCAACCAGTAATAACCGATAGAGAGCAACAGTCACACTACATATAACTCTCATCAACATCAAGGGGAGAACTGAAGGCTCAAGCCAATGAACATGACATGACATGGCGGTGAAATCAAGCGAGAGCATCTCAGCATCAAACCCTTCGACATGGTGACCCTCAATATGTGCAGCTCTGACACCTCCAGGCACATTCCTGAAGATAAATCTACAGGAAGGATCAATTCAATAACTTAAATTACAGTAATTCAATACCAGCCAATCCCTTGACGCATTCTTGACGCCATATGTCGCCATGGCTTACCAGCGGGGATGGAATCGTTTGCAGAGTTCTCCTCACTGGAAGCCCCTGGAGAAATTTGCCAACGATCCGATGCAGCTGGGCACACAATTCAGCTTCAACGTCAAGCTTCTGTAAGTAAAGACCGACAAACAGGCTGCTTGATGTTGTTTCTGCAATGTTTGATTTCTTCGCAGAAATTGGATCCAACAGTTCTCCGCAGAAACTGACATGGGGAAGTGTCCGGATATTCCATGTCACCCTGGACCAGCATCCCTGGGTCCCGCGTGGCATGTAACCCAGGCGCTTGGAACTTGGTTTTGGAACTGATGTGAACAGCACTGGGCGCGAAGATATCCGACAAATTTGCGCCTGGGATGGGCTGAAGTGGGGTGGATGTGGGTGATATCAAAATGCAAAGGATTTGTGCGGCTGCGGTAAGCTTTATGTTATTTGTGTTTGTCACGTTTCTGCACGTATTAGGAGGAAGGGCCACGTTTTCTCGAAAGACTTCCGAAATATGACAGGGGATCATTATAGATAGATAGATAGATAGATATATATAATATAGATATATAGTATATCTTTATGATGCTGTCTATTGTTCCTACCATTTATATCCATTTATGACCCCTTGTGGTGGTGCATATTAAGACGCATCCCTTTTCTTTCCAGCAAAGTCAGTAAAGCATTGAATCTTGGTTCGTGTTGGCCCCTTGGTTCGTGTTGGCCCCTTTGTTTGAACGGAATTGCGATCCAATGTGTTCCCTGCTATCCAGGTAAACATTTGGGACTGAATTTTCGCTGTGTGGGCGACGGAACCCAGAAGCGAATCATGGCGACGCTCGACCATCAAGTTGGTCACGCGTTGTGGAGTCATGACCTGGTTGAATCATCCCAAAAAAGTTCGACTTGTGCAGAAAAAGTCCGGAACCCCAAAACTGACACCATACTGACATCATTTGGATTCATTTGGATCATTCGGTTTCGGGAAAAACAATGGGGTGTAGTTATCGGTACACCATGTACCTGCAATGCTCACTTAAGTGGGACATGTGTTGATCAGCTGGAATTCCTAGAGCTACCCTCGGTGTCATCAAATGTGGCGTGGCTGGAAACCCCTCATTCAGTTGGAGGATTTTCCAAGCGATAAACTTCCATTTATAGGGAATTTTCCCATATTTTTTAACAGATTTCCAGCCAGCCAAGTTTGATTCCCAGAGAGTATATATCCCATAATCATCATAATTTCACAATCATTCCACTAACAACTGATATCTCATTGATTTTCCATCAACTATATGTATATATAGAAATATATACACACTATGTACATATATACGTATATATTTGTAAACCCTAGATAACTATAGTCTATAGGGTGTTCTTTATTTTCCTTTGCAGCCAGCCACATCTTTTTAGCTCCACCCCGAAGCGGGTAGGCTGAAGCTGGACATCATCCGCGAGCGAAAGAAGGCCGAGGAATTGGCTCTTGAGGCCGCCAGTGCCTATGGGAATTCAGGGAAGAAAGGCATGATATATGGAATAGTATGGAATAGTGATAATGGTATAGTTGATCAGTTGATCATATCACTATAAGCATGTTGTTGCTTCCATGTTCTCAGGAATTCTGAATAGATTATAGATTACTGTACAATATATTAAGTTAATGTGGGTAAAACTATATCATAAACCATCCCCCAGTTGTCATCACCATTTTTTATAGGTGGTATATAGGTGGTATGTTTGCCATTCTGAATGGCTGGTTTATGACATTGTTTTACCCACATTAGTTGATAATGGTAATATATAGTTGATAATATCACTATAAGTGGTATGTGTAGTTGATCATGGAATATTATACTTATAGCTCAAAACAAGTTGAGAGAGAGAGTCACGACTTAGTCGTCTAAGTTGACGCCTGACTAAAGGGTTCTTGGGGATGATCAAGGTAGATATCGATGTGGGGGCCACACCATTCATCCATCCGAAGGTACCTTCCGACGCATCCGGAGCCAGCGGGATCAGACATTGTGTTTTTCTTTCCGGGATGGTTACCAGTCAGTTTGACTGGAAATCATCTGAAATCATGATGTTGTTGCTTACCATCAAGTAGCCCTCGGTTTCCCGCGGAGTTTCCCTCAGAGCCGTTTGGGACGAATCTTAGCGCTTGAACGTTGAAGTAGCAGGCGCTTGAACGTCGCGGTGTCTAAGTCCAAAGCCTTAAAAAAATGCGTGTCCTGAAAAGTCTTGGCAACCTGGCTGCTGCCAACGTGTCATGTTTCAGGAAATCTGAATAGATTATAGATTATGTATATATATATATATATTAAGTTAATATGGGTATATAATTAAAACAATTTCATAAACCATCCCCCAGTCATCCATCTGCAGGACGGTAAAAACCAGGAATCCAGGTAGATCCTCTAAGGACTCCTGATGGGGGGAGATTTCCCTGTACCCTCTGGCTATGACTAACATCGCCATGGTATAGATGGCCCAGAGAAATAGAGGTTTACCTAGTAAAAATTGTGATTTTCCATGGCTATGTTAAATAACCAGATGGTAATTTTTCCATAGACATACCATGGTAGGATATGGTAGGTATGCCATGGAAAACCTCCAATTGAGAGCTCCTGCACCTGAAATTCCGCGAAAGAAACCGTGGCCTTGTTAGGCCCCTCGAGCAGTGGCTGGATTCTACAGAGGGGCACTGATGCTTGCCCTGAAGCTCGGGGGTTGAATGTTGGAAACATCATCGAGACAGAGGGTGGCTCCACTGGAAAAGTATCCGTATCCCGATACCACTGCTAATACTGCTAGTGTTGGGTCCCCCATGAAAGGAACGTAAGGAATGCCAGCAGTATGTCTCAGATGCCAGCACCAGCATGCCTAGGAATGCTCTCCCAGAGACCGAGAAGTACCGAGTGAATGCCCTCTTTGTGCAGTTCTACGGTGGCTTATTTCAAGATATTTTGCCAATATTGCCAGTGAATCCAGATTTAAGTTCAACAAGTCGACTTCACCCAGCTGTGGGCTTGATGGAGTTTGAAAGGCGAAAGGTGCTGAAGGAGACAAACACATGTGTTTTCCTTGGTGTTCTGGGCAGCGTTGCGTTTTTGTTGTTTCATCACCATGGCTGGTACTCGTAGGTCAGCATGTGGCTTTTAATGCATGGTACATGTTCAAACATTCAATCACGTACTTTCGCTTGTTGCACCATTACATCATGTATTATATGCACTGTGTGAACCTGTATATATGTATATATATATATTATGTATATAGTTAATCGGTGTTAGTTAGTTAGTTAGTTAGTTAGTTAGTTAGTTAGTTAGTTAGTTAGTTAGTTAGTTAGTTAGTTAGTTTGGTAGGTAGGTAGTTAGTTAGTTATTAGTTAGTTATTTAGTTAGTTAGTTAGTTAGCTAGCTAGCTAGTTAGTTATTAGTTAGTTAGCTAGCTATTTAGTTAGTTAGTTAGTTAGTTAGTTAGTTAGTTAGTTAGTTAGTTAGTTAGTTAAATTATCATGTGTATATTATATTAGTGTATATCATTGTTATGTATCTGTATTATATTTATATATATATATATATATCCAACCAGGCCAGATATTATGCATCCAAACGTCATCGTTTACGGCTCCCAGGTGGCGAACGCGCCTGGTCCTTGGGGGAAGCCTATGCGCCCGAAGCGTTGCAAGCGGAAGAACAGGATTTCTCCGGTGGTTGTAGGGATCGGTTGACTGGTTGGTAAGGGCAAGAAACAAAAAGAGACATTCGCGAAATCTAGCGAATGCTAGTGAATGGTTGATTGGTTGATCAAAAACGGTTTCCCTTGAGTTGATTGAAATGTGAGCGAATGCGAGTAATACTATGACTGCTGGGTTTGCCCGCCTTGTTTTTGCATACCATATTCCAGTGCTGGATCAGGCCTTTCCCCAAAATGATGCAGTTCCCATTGGCGGTGGTCGACTTGATCCTCTCCAGGAGCGAAAGGAAAAACGGCGCAAGACTGGCGAGGAGCCATCGGACAGCGACTCTGAAGATATGGAGGAGCTATTGGGGCGCTTTTCCAATGTGCAACAGGCCCATTGCCGGGGCCGGAGGTGGATGTTTTGGTTGGCTTCAACTAATGCTTTGTTGAGGGAATTAATCCAGGGGAAGAGCAGGCTCTGGACTTGGGAATGGGATGTTTCTTTTGCCAAAAAGTGCGTCAAATGGATAAATGCACGACTTTTTGTGAGATGATTCTTCCATTCTTGGTCGTCAGTCGCAACTCAAAACAATATGAAACAACCATGTGCAGTAATTAAGTTAAGTCAGTAAGTCGAATTTCATGGAAATCCCTCGTGTTAGCGTTCAACTTATGATGGATGCAACTATTGTTTCCAGAGGTCATCCAACTGACTTCCCTACTCTGCTGGTTTCAGCACATGACGTCTAAAGGTGCAACCTGCAGAACACTCCAGAACACCACCTTTCCCAGTGCTTTACCCTAATGCCCATAATTCAGCCCATAAATCAGCCCATTCATAGGTATGGGAGCAGCCAAGGCTGCCAAGGGGCTAGGGAGCCTGTGAAGATCATGGCCTGTCCAGCCAGGGCTCCTGAGTCGTCTGATGCGCTTGCGAACGTTCGCGGGCCAAAAGATAGCTGCAGCTGGGTGATGCATCAGTAGTGCAACGGCAACGATGCTGCAGATGATGAATATATATATATATATGTTTATGTAAGTACCAGTACCAATGCATTGTTATCATTATTTTCTTGACTATGACGATGATGGCGACGGCGATGGTGATGATGATGATGATGATGATGATGACGATGACGATGACGATGACGATGTTGATATATATATATATATTATATATATATTGGTTTTAAGATGTTCATTTCCATGTGCACTTAAGTTGAATGTTCAGACCCCCATTGGTCCATCCAATCAAGACTACTGTGGCAAGATTGGCCCAGCTCTTCGGCAGATATCCATGCAGGATCATCTGTGGTGATTCTCTTATTGCTTGATATCCCATAGTTGATTCTGTATATAGGATATGAAGCCAATATTGGATAACAGATATCCTTTAGATATGGCCATCCTATAATAGAGACAGAAAGATAAGGAATAACAGATCTTAGCTATTTGGCTTGGCTCGTGCCACCAGGAGATCTATTCCTCAGACTTCGCCATGCAGTGTCTGGCCAATGCGAATGGCGAGATGCGGCAAACGTGTGTGTTTTACCCCAGAAAACACAACTTCCCAGTTCAACCCCGTCAGATTAAAACAGCAAAAGTGCCTTAGCTTTTAACCAGCAAAATCGAGATCTAAACGGCAAATATGGGGTTTAACGGTTTAACATGGTTTCACTAATACCGAAAGAAAAGTGAATAGACGCATCGTTTGGTAAGCATATACCCTGCAGCAATCTAATACGATTGGGTGGGACCTCCAAGTTCTTCGGATAATCTTCAAGTAGTTTCAAATGCATGTTTTGTATTGTTTTGTTGTTCATTTTCCAGCCAGTCATGGTCAATCTTGCCAAGAAGTACATGATGGTACCAACATTATTTGGGATAAGAACGGAATCACACATATGAGATGGTCTGCTGCTATCATTGTATGATTTGAGAGTATGTGATTTGACGGTATAAGAAGGTTTTTCTTTGGGTTGATTGACCTGAAAATTACCCTCTGGTAAACTAACTTAACTATGGAAAATCACATTTTTTACGTGTAAATCAACTATAAATTGCCATGTTCAATGGCTTTTTGTCAGCTTACGAGAGGGTAAATCTTGCTGAACCAAGGTTTGCTTTGGCCGCGCGGGGTTATACCATCATGCCTTGGAATGAATCAGCGCAGATGCACCAGGATAAGGCGCCCGCAGTGGAACTCGGAAACATTCGAAAAAAACAAACAAACTAGTTCATTATAGTTACTATAGTCAACTTATAGTTGATATACTAATGACAGTTCATTACCACCAAATGTTCCCAACAACCAACCAGATATATATATATATATACCCGTGGTTATTTAACATAGCCATGGAAAATGGCCCATTTACAGATTATTTTCCCAGCTAGAAACCTCCATTTATAATGGAGTTTCCATGGCTATGTTAAATAACCAGATGGTAGATCAACCAATATCAACCAATGATAGTTCACAAAATGGTGTTTCTTGTAGCAGACATTACTTTACAACATGAGGATTTTCGCTGGCAGTTTCGCTGATCTTTCTCTGCAGGAGATTCCACTGTCAGGGCCAAAGGATGCTGCCTTCCGCCACTATTCTGGACCCGTTGGAAAGCCCACCTACGCTCGGAGCTCAGCTTCACTTCTCCCTACAGAACTGGATCGCAGCGGATAGCGATGACAGGAGTTGAAACTGCAGAAAGAGGATAGCAAG